CTCGATATGGAATTTTGATGAAATAACACACAAGATGCAATGTTTTCTTTTTGTGACGATATTATTAAGTCTTCCCTTATTGGCCGGCCGCAACACAGGCCTGCCAAACCGACGGCTCTAATTAAAGAATTGTAGAGATGTTATGATGATAATTATTACTACCAAGTTCCCTGCTATATCTGCGGCACAACGGAAACCCTTTTTGAAGTTTACGAGGAATGAACTTTGACAAAAAAGTTTTAGGTTGTGCGGCGGATTTTTAACTACTACCACCCCAAACAAAGACGTCGTCTGTACTAGTTAAGTGAAAACATGCCTATACTTGTTATCATGCATATTTTCTCTCATACGTAATTATTATTTTTGTTTTAATTGATTTATTATTATTATTATTATATAGATATTTTTAAACTTTTATATTATATTTTTGTGTCATAACTTCTCTGCTACTTATACAATGAGGTGTGGTGCGCAACGGTGCCTTCCTCTTTTTATATGACCGTACTGAACTCAATTAATTTTTTGCATTATTATATTGTTATTAAAGGCTTTTCCTTTTTGTTTTTGTAAGGAGGTGAAGGATTTTATAATAATGTATTCTTTAATTTAATTAATAAAAATATTTCTTGTAATATTATTGAATGAAACAATGAATCAGACTGAAAATGCCGGTTGTGTTTTAAATGTTCGGCATTACTTAATAATATTCATTTATATGTTTGTGAATTATAAAAAAATATGCTGTTGATATATAATCTTCTGTATATAATGATTATTTATATATGAGTCCTTGCGGTCGATTTTGTTAGCCCAGGACAAAACCTGAGGGAGAGAATTATATTAAAATAAAAAAATTAAATTTAAAACTATTATACATTTATTTTACATATCCTCTTAACATCCTGATTCTCCTAGGTGTTCCACAAGGCGTCGTTTTAAGCCCAGTGCTTTTCCCAAACGTACTAATAACATACAATTATTATTATAATAAACAAGTGCATATGGGTTATTTCCCCTAGTTTTTTTATTGATGTAAACACCTATATGTAGGTGGGATAACTTATATATTAATATATTTGCAGGTATGTAGATATGTTTATATTAAATTAGAATTAATAACTTTATTTGAGCTGAGGTCACGACATTTTTTAAAGGTCAATAATGTGTTTTTTAATTTAGTGTTAATTTATCTAAATTAAAAGTTGGACTGTTTATAAATCTTAAAGAAATGATGATGCTATGGTAATAAGCTGGTAAGTTTTTCCCCCGAAATTTGTGACATCCTGTGCGTCAATTTGAACTACAGTCAAACCATTTTGATTTTTTGTTCACGTTATCTCTGTTTATAACATAAAATGTTCGAAAGATTTCCTTCTGAACCGCTCAATTTTGGGGACCCTTCTTGAAAGAAATATTGAGATATTGAAATCTGAAAATGTTAAATTTTCATTAAAATGTCATTTTTAAACATCGGAATTTTTTTATTGTTTTTTGCCGAGTGGTTAATAATGCGCCGATTGTATTCGCAATTGTTAATAATTAATGACATTTATGCACGATGACATTATAATATGACAATTATAACAAAAATTCTTTGACGTAAACGTCTTTTTATAGCCCGCGGGCGTTATTATGGCCCAGCGGGCTATAATGAAACGTCAAAAATTAAAAACAACAATGTTACACCATTTGATATATTCGAAGTAAGTTTTTTCGTATAAAGATTTTGATTTTACCGGCAGCAGGCCGCAATTTTTCGCCTTTTCAGCTGCTTCCTCAATTTCATTCATCTTTAAACTTGACTGATGTCAGTTGACATTATAATATGACAATTATAACAAAAATTCTTTGACGTAGACGTCTTTAAAAACAATAATATATTAAAAATAATAATATATTAATCGTGCATAAAGTTTTGTATGTATTGCTGGCATAACTGGTTTTTATGGTCCTACGACGCTTTTCTAGCCCTCGCGCTAACGCGCTCGGGCTCGAAATAGCGCCTCGGACCATAAAAACCTTATTATGCCCTTAATACATAAATAACTATTATTTCTCCCGCTGTAAACAATATTATTCCTTCCCCTGTATATATTTTCATTCCCTCCCGCTAATCAGGTAAGAAATGTTCCATTCCCTCCCGCTACCATGACGACGCTACCGTGTGATTGACTTTGAATGTAAACGTCAGAATTAAATTAAACGTTAGATTTATATAATTTTGACACAAATTGTGTATTTTTAAGCGAAAGTGAGCATTTATTGAGTTTAGCTTAAATAAGTATACTTATTTAAGCTAAACTCAATAAATGCTCACTTTCGCTTAGGTATAGGTAAGCTTACTAACATAATTGGAACGACTTTAGGACTGTAAACGTCAGTTTTAAATTAAACGTTACTTTTTTAATTTTGCAAAGAAAAAAATAAAAAACTCGTTTAATACTTGATTTCGATTGATTATTCTTTATATCATTGATTAAAAAACTCAACGCTTAAATGCTTATATATAGTTATCATGGTGAATTATTGTGTTTTTAATTGTAAATAAAATTCAAGAACTAAATCGTTGCATTTTCATGTTTTGCCAAAGGATCCACTTCGGTAATTACATTTGTTGGTGCAGAATTAACGAATCATAACTTTACCTAATATAATTTATATTTAAGTTTGGTCATTTTTAAGAAATTAGTAAAAAATAATTTTTGCTCAAACATAACCTTAAAATCAACCAATTTTATATTTAAGTTCTCTAAAAAACACCGACAACTGCATTTTAAACAACAAAATATACCTAAGAATTCATGGCAACATATTATATATAATACATAATATAATGGTATTTTATAGAGATGGGAATCGGAAAGTTTCCATTTTAAGGAAACTTTCCGTTTTGGAAAGTTTCCAATTGGGAATTTATTTTCATTTTGAAAGTTTCTTTTAAGCTACCGGAAACATTCCTTGGAAACATTCCTTGTTTTTTTCATTTAAATGTCAATTTTTTAACCGCTGATTTTTGTTAAGGCCATGATACAAGGCCAAGAAACTTTGAATAAGAATTTAATTTGTGTTAATTTAAAGCAGAAGAAGAAGTATAAATAATGTAAGTTATGTTACATAACCTCAATGAAGCCGGATTATTCAGCATCAACACAAAAAACTTTTTTAAAAAAAGGTAAACAAAATAAAAACAATAAACAAAGTTAAAATCATTCTTACATTTTTGTTGTTTATTTATAGGCATAGCACAATGTCAAGAGAAAAATCTAGTGTTTGGAATTATTACAAAATAGTGCAAAAAAACAAAAAAGACCATGCTCAAAGCAAGTTCTGTAAGAAAATCTATGTCGTTAATGCAACCAAAAATTTGACAAAAAGTTAATGTGTTATATATTTTTGCATAAAAAAAATATTTTCGCAATAAAAATTTTTTTTTTGAAACTTTCGGAAAATTTCGGGAATTTTCGATGGAAAGTTTCCGGGAATTTTCGTCAAATGGGAATTTTCCCATCTCTAGTATTTTACCGTTGAGTAGAGACTTTAAAGAATTCTTAATCAACAGTGGCGTGCAGGACGGGCCCCGCAGGGCCCGCGGTGCGGGGGGGCCCCGATCTTAAGGGGGCCCCGTAGAGAACCACATTGGGTGGTATAAGTGACAAAGGGGCCCCAGCTCAAAATTTGCGGGGGGGCCCCCGATCACCTTTGCACGCTACTGTTACCTAATCAACGCTTTTAATAATGCTAAATGCTGTTTAAATTTAGACGACTTATTTGTTTGACGATTTTTACTGAATTAAAATGTTTACACTTTTCACGTTAATCACTACTAAAATGTGTATTTATTGTATCTAATAGGTACAATTTATATTTACAGAGACTGTATGCAATTTATTTCTTCATTCAGATTAACACTGTTTATTGGAAAACCGGTAAAAACTCAACCCAGGATTTCCTCTCGAAATCCACCCAACAACACAACAAATCGATTCACGGTTTTTTTTCGATATTTTTTAACATTTTCCGGCTTTATTCTCAAAAACACTCGTTTGTAACATACGCGTTTGACAGCTGATTATCAAAAGTACAATTGTTACGATGATAACAGCCGAGTGGTGGCGCTACTAGCGATACTTCTTTAGCAAGATCATAGAAATAATACTATTATTTCTATGAGCAAGATACATACACCTTAAGATAGGATGGTGCGCATGTTGGGCGGGGCTTAATGACGTCACTTGATGAGTGTTTTTAAATCTTTAACGTGCTTTTTAATTATCTGCTGCTAAAATTCTTGTTTTTGCGATGCTTGCTCTACTTTTTGTTTAACTTGTCGTTTTTGTGTTCGGTAAGGTTCGAATTACTTTTCAGCGTTCAAATTATTGTTATTGCGTTAGGTTAACCTGTTAGGTTTGTTTATTATTGTTTTTGTGTTGTTTGTGTTTTGTTTGTGTTTTAGATTGTATAGTGCCATTTCCATTTATTAAAATGCGGTGTGGCATATTTGGATGCAATTCGGACAACCAGTCCAAGAAAAACCCTTTAAATAAAAACATTAAATTTAATCGATTCCCGAAAAAGTTTGATTTGTGGGAACAGTGTTTAAATGCCACAAAAATAATAGACAATATTTAGGTTGAGACCGCTTCTGTTTCCTATAAACATTTTCTGGATAGTGACTATAAGTTTAATTTAAAACACCAACGCTTAAACTACAGCCCTAAATGTTATCAAGGACTGAAAGCATTTATTATCCATATTATAACACTTTCTTCAATATTAAGTTTAATAAAAACGCACTATGTCCAGAAATTTCTTTATTTTCTTTGATAATATTACTATTATTCGTGTATTCGCACGGCAACTACTCATCAAGTGACGTCATGCGCGGGACGAACCAAAACTCGTACACGGGAGCATCCAGCCCTGCTTCTTTAGCGTATATCCTATTTTAAACTGTAAATATTATCTGTAAAAGGAATGAAAAAACGAAATAAAAAAATAACTATTATTAAACAATCTTTATTAAAGAAGCGATTATCACAATATGACAATTAAGGAATCATCGTTAGAATGTCAAATTACAGTAGAAAAAAATAATTAACATATAAATAATGAGGATAGTTAATATGTATATACCTAATTAGAGCATCAAAGGAAAACAAATTTAAACATTCAAAGGCATTTATTATGGAAAAATTATTAAGCCAATTAAAATATACAATTTAGTACAACAAACATTTTTTCGAATTTAATACTTTTTGGTTATGAATAGTTTTGCCTCGTTGAGACTTACATTAAATACGAGTAGGTACTATTAATTAATTAATTAATTGATTGACTAAACATCGTTTTGACTGTTTCGAGTAAGTAAAATCAGTCAGCACCAAAAAATTTTCGGAGTTTTGAAAAAGGGACTCCGCATTCAATCTCATTCACACACTTTATACAAGTCATAAAATATTTATAGTCTTATCTAAAATAATAAATCCAAGTCTTCCAGTGGCTGATCGAAGAATACATTCTATTACGAATTTATTTACAATAGACAAAAGTATCATAATATAACACAATAACAGATTCAAGGGGCAGTATTCAAAAAATATAATATAAAAACAATTCAGTTTTCTGTTAAGCGCGTTATAAGAAGACCTCCACCATTATTAAAATTTTCCCTTGTCTGTGTATAGGAATTGCATACAACATAGAATACAGCCAGTGGAAAAGATAGCTGGAAATACATACGCCATACTTAACTACGCTTATGGCTGTACTTATTTCGTCATCATAATTAACTAAAATCGGTCTGCAACGCATCGCCGCTCCCTTTTTGGCAGTTTTTCTTGAGTGAGTAGCATTGGACGGATACAAAAAGAAGCGACGAAAACGTTTAACAAACCTACGGAATTAAATATACAAATAATATAGTCGAGTATTCGTGCTTTTGGAGCATATATATATCTTCTTCTTGGTCATCGTCGAGAGTAACTTAAAAACTAATTTTTTAGCAGTGTCTACGTGAGGTAGTCGGGTGTGGGTTCCGATATCGGCTCCGGGGTGGTGAACAGCGGATTCGGAAACTCCGGCGGATGCGGCAGAGGTCCGGTGGCCTTCGGTCTTCTGCGGTACGCCATCAACCAGCAGGACACCGCAATAGCGACTGCCACAAGAGCCAGCAAGGCAGTGATTATCAAGGCTATTATGAAGCCTATCATCGACACGCAGATATCTTCCACTCTTTGAGCGTTTGGAGCTAAAAAGATCAGGATTAAGCATTGGTTTTTTTCATTTATTACTTATTATCAAATTTGGTTTACAATAAGTCAACGTATTCACATATAATATAATTGCTTGTTGATATTTTTCTCTGAAAAGTTTTAATAAGTAAAAGTTAGAGTTTTGGAAGTCTTACTTTATCTTAAAAACTCTGAATAAGACTTATTAAGTCGGAAAAAGTCTTAGTAAGTCAGACTAATAGCAAAATTTGGGAGTCTTCTGGAAAAGTTAATAAGACTTTTAGCAGAGAGATTGTAGTCATTCCATGGCAAACGATACCAAGGGTGTAAAAATAAATATGTTCTTTTCGCATTAAATCTGATGAATTTTGAAAGAAAACATTCCAAATTATAATGTGCGACAAAAAAACTAGAAGAAACGCTTAATTTTTAAGTTAATTAGTGTCCAAAATCTGTACTCAAGTGAACTGGCTGAATGACCATGCGAAAGAAAGAAAAACTGTCAATCTGTCAACCGTTTTGCGATTTGAGATTATTTTAAAAAAATGTCAATCTGTCGACCGTTTTGTGATTTGAGATTATTTATCGTAGTAGTGGTGTCACAGTCCCAAAAAAATTGATAATTATCAGGTTGTAAGTGTGTTTTCTTCTTACTTTGTCACTGTAACACCAGAAACGAAAAATCAGGTAATTGTTTTGTTATTATACCTTACAGATTGATTAGTGTAATAATATTTAGTAAAAGTAAGGTTATGGTGGTAATGATTTAAAATACTAAAGCTTAATTTTCATGTATCCGTTTGTCTGTTATCCGTTTTTCAATAAAAACGTCCGACAAGAAATGTTCTAATTTTCATGCATCCGTTTAACGGATTGATTTTTTGACAAATAGAAATTAAGGGTCGGTATATTCATTACTAAATTTACCTAATGCTTAATTGCCATAGTTACAATTATGTCAACAATTTTAACTTTAACAGTTAGCTGTCTAATAAATTTAAAGGTACCTAGGTAAATATACCATATAAAAAGAATATACTAGCCTTAATATACATTAAAATGTATAGTTTTTAAAAAGCAGGTCCTTTTAGTTCTGGTTTTAATATATTTTGTTTGTGTTTTTTTTTTCGGTTATTCTTATTAAATTAAAACAAAACAGTAGAACATTATTGACATAACGAAAGTAATATTTCCGTTTTACAATCTTATTAAAAAAATATTAAAAGATTTATCTTAACGTTAGGCATCAAAATCAGATGTGTAATGGCGGATGAATAAAACTTATTTTAAGTTTCTCCGTCAGACGTACGAAGTAGAAACTTGACGGACCGATAAAATGTCATAATTTTCGAATTATAATTGGACCGAGGGGTCAACCACCCAAAGGGAAAACGTCCAGGGATTCCCATGTATTCCCATTATATTTTGTTGTATTCCTATGTATTTCCATTGTATTCCTATGGTATTCCCCCTCTAAAATGTCCTGGGATTCCCAGGTGTGGGTCAAACGGATACATGAAAATTAAATTTAACTCATATCTGAGCACAAGACTAATTTGATATGTTTTTTTCTTGATTAAAAACTGTAACATCTGAAACGTTTAATTTTACAATTTAGATAGAACAACTAAAAACGTAGAGAATAAGGCACTTTAATTGCTAAAATATTATTTCAAAATACATAAAAATTTATACTTTGGTAGTCGGAAAAAGTCTAGACTAATAGCAAAATTTGGGAGTCTTCTGGAAGTGTTTTAGCAGAGAAATTGTAGGTATACCTATAGCGATTAAAATAAATATCCGGAGTTTTTCAAAGATATTGTATTTGGTTATTGAAAAAGAAAATATAAAGAAAAGTATTTATAAACACTGTTTTTGTGTTGTTATAAGGCTTATAAAAACAAGAAATCAATGCTTACAACATTTACTTCAATTTATTACAATAAAACAGTTAACTAAGACATACGTTTGGTTTGTGTACCTACATACAGATCCCTTGTGGTATAATAACTATAAGAATTCTTCGCAACGCATAGGAATGATGACAGTTGAACTCGTAAAAATAATATGGTTGATCTTCGAGCTGCTTTCATTGTGTTTGATTGTACGTACAGTGTTGCCGGATTAATATCATAAAAGTTCCTGACCAAAAATTACAAAATACTAAGAAAACTAGTTATATTTTAAATTTACTAGGGCATTCGCCCTGTTTTGAAAAATAAATTAAATTAACTTAAAATTGTTATATAAGTCAATAAAAATGTAACAGGATAGAATAAAATAATTGACATAATTAGTAAATATACAATATTATTTTCTGAAAAGTTCTATAGTTATTATTTTGATCAAAATTTGCAAGTTAACCGATTTTACCCGCTTCAAAATTCTACCCGCAAACATGATGAAAATACCCAATTTTCGAGTAAAATACTTGCAAACGGCAACACTGGGTCGGACTGACAGAAGAAAGATGAAATCACATGACGGTCACCTGTGCTCTAATTGGTCAGCTGAGAAAATCGATCACATGTGTATTGTTTTTAGAACAATTGTTTGAAACAATGGTTAGATGAATATTTGCGTTTTTAAAAAGAAACTATTAAAATAAAACGCACAGTGGCAACAATGAAAGCAAGTCAAGCGCATCGTATGTAAAAAATTATAATTGTTATAATTATTACACCTTGCATATCTTTTATTGTTATAGGTACCTACAATTTCTTCCAGAAGACTCTCAAATCTTGCTATTAGTCTAGACTTAATAAGACTTATTCAGACTTCTTCGACTTAATAAGTCTTATTCTAGTTTTTAAGAAAAAGTAAAACTCTTATTTATACTTATTAAAACTTTTTAGAGAAAAATTTCCACAAGGGTGTGGATACTTTGATTACTGTAAACAAGATTGATTTTGTGATAAGATAATGAAAAGTCTGTCTGTGGTAAAGTCTTACCTTCTGTTGGATCTGTGAATCGTTCCTCACGTCTTTCAAACGTTAAAATGGCGTTTGATGATATTGTTATTTCTTCTCTCAGCTGTCCAGACAGTAAATCTCCGGACACTGCAACGTCTGTGTTGTTATCGTCATCAATGGCTCTCTTACGTCTACCAAAAGCGTTGTATCCTCTGCAATTAACCTATAAAAAACACCAATTAACACCAATGATGATGAAATTAAATTGACTCAAAACTTACTGGTTGGCATTTGCCGAAGCAAACTCTTATGTTACACTGGAATCTGATGTTGTCGCTGCTTGGGAATTTGAAGGCGTTGAAGCTGGCCAGCAAGCTTTGGGTGTCGGGATTATACTCCCATTCCCCAAAGATCGTTGGATCAGTCGCGCAACCGTTCTCATCCGTCACCAAATATTCATTTACTTCGTTGTCTTCCATAGTTTTGGCCACGCAGCTTCTAGCGAATCCACCGTAGATCGAACCAGGTTGGACGTCGACTTGAAGCATGAGGTTGTCGCCAATTTCGGCCGAGTTGATTTCTTGACCGGTTTGCGTCACGATCTTCATTAGGCACGTTGGTGGCGGCCCGGTGTTTGCAATCGTTCCAGCTGTAGTTAACATGGATACGTTAAAGCCTAGAGTGACATTTTGCTCGCCTGTTTGGTAGACACACTTGATGTGGTATGCTTGGGCTTTGTACGTTACCAGTTTAGGATGTTTCTGGATTACTAGCACAAAGCTTGCTTGTCCCTGTGATAAAATGATCATTATAGCATTTAAATAATTATTAATTAAAAATGTATCTTACGTTAACATGTATAAGTCCACAATTTCCAAATTGGACCTTGAATATTTCCAGTCTTTGGGTAGAGTCGGGTGGTAGAGTTACAACTCTCCTACATTGCTCATCCTTACTGTGCCCCTTTACGTATAATACCCCATTGAATCCAGTTTCTGTGATGTGAATTTCGAGCTGGACTCCATCAGAAAGGCAGCTTACCTGCATCTCTGGTCTTGGGAAGTCCGTTCTAAATGGTGATGTGTGATCTACAAATACATTATTAAAAAAAGGTTCATTTTATAGCAAAAAATATAACTTACTGCAGAGCACATCTGGATCTCCGGTGTACCCTGTGATGCATTGGCATACAGCGCGATGATTCGTAGCGTTGCAAAGGGCATTGACGCCGCAATGTTTGGTTTCGCATGGATCATCACAGGTCTTGGTGTTTGGGTTGCAGTACTTGTGATCAGCGCAATCGTCGTCAGTTTTGCATTCAGGTCCTTGTTTGGGTATGCAGTTGCCTCTGCTGTCAAGTCTGTAACCGAATTCGATCGGGCACACGCAGTTGCCACGCTCGTCGATTATAAGGCCTCTTTCTAGCGCGCACACGCAGCGACCTCTCTCGTCGATTTTGAATCCTTTCTCGACCCTGCATGGTATGCATTCGTCGTTTTCGTTTTGAGCGTAGTTTGGTGGACATACGCACTTTCCGTCTGAGGTTCTTACATATCCTTTGTCGGTTCTACATAAGGCCACTAAAAAAAACATATTGATAAAAATGTTAATGGTTATATGTTTCGTTGACTTACTTTTGTCGCATTGTACAGCAGCGTTTCCTTGATATCCAGGCAAGCATTCGCATGTCATAGTTCTTACAGGTTCTGTGTTCAAAACAGTACATTCGGCATTGACGCCGCATGGTTCTGTAGCTTTGCATGGATTCACGCATTCGCCGCCAATGCAAGCGAATTGCGATGGGCACTCTGAATCATGTCGGCATTTGACGTCGACCTCCATACAACCCATTTTACCGTCGCTGACTGTGCCAGGTGGACAGGCACATTCGACAGCGTGGTTGAATACTTTACATTCGGCCGGCGCATCGCAAGGATTTGCTTCGGTGCAAGGATTCTCGCATTTCTGGTTGATGCAAGCTCTGCTTCCCGGGCAATCGGTGTCCGATCTGCAGCCTACAAGCACGCAAGATACTTTAGGATCTCCCATTAGACCTGGCGGACATTCGCATATCGCTCTGTGATTGCTGGCGTAACATTCGGCGTCATCGCCGCAAGTCGAACCATCGGCCGCACAAGCTGACACGCATTGTCTGTTGATACATTGATGTTGTGGCGAGCATTCGTCATCGCTTCTGCATCCTATGCGGTGACATTCTATCTCCGGTTTGCCGTCGTAACCTTGTCTGCATGTACAGACGGGTTTGTGATCTTTAACGCGGCATTCAGAGTTGATGCCGCAGTTGCATGGATCTCTGCATATTCCGTTAAAGCAAGCCTTGTCAGACGGACATTCGCTGTCGCTGACGCAAGCTCCGATTTCTTTGATGGATGGTACGGGGTTACAAGTGACGTTTCCGCCGCTTATGTAACCTGGCGGGCATACGCATAGCATTGTTCTTACTGGCACGGATCCTACAACTTGGCATTCGGATGGGCGATGGCATGGTTCCAGTACGGCGCAAGGGTTCTGGCATTTCTCGTTGAGGCAAGCAAGTCTTGATGGACACTCGCCGTCCTCGCGACATTCCGGTTCCGGTTCTGGTCTGCAGTCTACGTAAGGATTACCAAGGAATCCAACTGGACATCTGCACAATGACATGTGGTTTTGTACCCTACACTCAGCTCTAGGCGAGCATGGGTTACCATAGACGCAAGGGTTGATACATTGCGCGTTTATGCATTGTCTATCAGTCGGACAATCGCTGTTGGAAGTACATCCTTCAACGATACACCTGTCGAATGGATTTCCTCTGTAACCGCTCAAGCAGCGACACTCTGCACGGTTCTGATATACGTAACATTCCGAGTTGATTCCGCAAGGATCTTTAACCAAGCACGGGTTGATACAATGACCGTTGACACAAGCCTTTCCAGACTCGCATTCCGAGTCGATTCTACATCCGATCTTCTGGCAAGCGATGTTTGGATTGCCTTCGTATCCTTCTTCACAAGAGCATATTGGTCTGTGATTCTGTATTAAGCATTGTGCGTTGCTACCGCAATCGCAAGGGTTTCTACACAATCTATTAATACAAGCCTCGTTGCTAGAACAATCGTCATCTCTTGTACAACCAGGTGGTATCGGTACTACGATAGGGAGACAATCGCCCTCATTATTAGGCACCCATCCTTCCGGACAAGTGCAAATCATCGTTCTTACAGGTATTGTGTCGAGAACGCTGCAATGTGCGTTTTTGTGGCAAGGCGAGAGGCTTTCGCAAGGATTGACGCATTGATTTCTTATGCAAGCCAGCTTACTTGGGCAGTCGACATCGAATTCGCACTCCGGCTTACCAGCTACTCTGGACGGAGCGCTACAGTAAGCCATCGCGTTTCCTTCGGGCAAATGCGGCGGGCATACGCAACCGGCTGCGTGGTTTTGTGCGTAGCAAATTGCGTTTTGCGCGCAAGGTGGATTTGCGATTTGCGAGCATGGATCCACGCATCTTTGACTGATGCAGGCTCTATTGCTTGGGCATTCGGAATCGGTGTGGCACTCAACGCGTTCGCAACGATCGAATGCGTTACCCTCGTAGCCCGGTGGACACTTGCAGCTGCTTACGTGGTTTTGACCATAACATTCTGCGTTCCTCGCGCATGGATCGTTGATTATACATGGGTTTATGCATTGTCCGTTGTAGCATTGTTTGTCGTTGCTACACTCGTTATCAGATTGACAACCAACTGCAAATAAAGATTTTGTAAATAAATTGTTAAAATATTAACAAGATTAACTTACGTTTAGTGCAGCCTATTTGAGGATTTCCGGAATATCCTGGTTGACAGTAACATGTTGGATAGTGGTTGACCACTTTGCATTCAGCATTTGGTCCACAGTTACATGGGCTTGTACACAAACGGTTTATACAAGACTCGCTCTTTGGACATTCAGAGTTGCTGGTGCACCCCACAGTTACCCCGGTTGCTACAACAAACATTAATGATAATAATAATAATAATAATCGTTTATTAATCCAACAGACAAACGTCCATACAAAGGATATAAATATATACAACCAAATAAATACAGTGTAAAAAAAGTCTTGTTTCTATTTCTAAAATATTGATTTAAAGTTAAATAAAAAATATCACAATTCTCTTCAATCAGATTGTAACTCCGATACATTGAATTTATTGGTATTTGCAGCTTCTTCATAGAAAGCTTGGTGATACCTAGAATTTAGTCTTGAAATATAAAATTTTATTTTCAAGACAATTTTGGGGTCAAAAATTATTCCGTGTATTTTATATAGATAAATCACGTATCTACGTATCTACGTATCTCCAAACTTTCCATGTCAAAGAACATTAAAGCACCAACATAATCAAATTTAAAAACGGGGTAATATCCATAGAATATGTAACAGAGATACCTATCTAAAAAACTTTCTATGAATTTTTTCAATATTATCAATGTGAATGTCATAAAATTGTGAACAAATGACGCAGGCATATTTAAATTTACTACGAATATAAGCGTTATATAGGATTTTCAAAGTATCTTGGTTTTTAAATTCTTTGGTGTTACGTTATTAATATTAACTACATTGTATATATTTTTCAATAAAAGTACTTACGTGCTACACATTCGATCTTTGGATTGCCTTCGTAGCCTGAAGGACATCTGCAAATAGGTTCGTGTCTTGTCACGGAACAGAATGCCCCACTTGCACATGGTTTATCTGCTGTGCATGGATTGACGCAGATTTCATTCTTGCACCTCTTGTCATATGTACAATCATCATCACTGTAACATTCCGGAACCACAGGCACAAACGGCGGTGTTTTCGGTACTAGAAAAATATTAACGTCAAACATTGTAAAAAAATCAAGAAATTAAGTCAACTTACTGTTTGTACATTCGATATGTGGATTACCGATGTAACCTGGGGCACAAGTACATACGGCTTGATGGTGCGCGGAGTTGCAAATGGCGTTAACTCCACACCTATCTATTCTGCAAGCTTCAATACATCCACCGCGTATGCATTTGTCTCTATCGTTACAATCAGAGTCCACTTTGCAGCCTGGTTCTTCGTAGGTTATAGGTCTGCATTTTCCAGTAATTTCGGCTATGGTATCCGGCGGACACATACACATCACGGTCCTGAGTGGTTGCGTATCTCGTACGGAGCATTCCTGGTCGGCGGTACAGATATCGGTTGTCGCGCATGGATCTTCGCATCTGTCGTTCGTGCATACGTATTTTGTTGGGCAGTCGGAATCAGTTGTACACTCCGGCGTCGGTTGTTTGAAGCCCAAGCATTCCACGAAGGGATTGCCAGTCGTACCAATTGGACATGAGCATTTAGGTTGGTGATTACGTCCCACACAATTTGCAGTGTCAGCGCAAGTTTCGTCATCGCATACAGGTCTGCAGACTCTGTTAAGGCGATCGCAAGCCTCATGATCTGCGCAGTCTTCGTTGTAATGACAAATTCCGGTGATACAAGAGATTAATGGATTTCCCTGTGTTCCAGCCGGACATTGACATTGTGCTCTGTGGTTTTGTGCTAAGCATTCAGCACCGCGTCCGCACGATTTGGTCGAGCAAGGATTCAAGCAGTTTTCGTTGATACAGGCTTTGTTGTATGGGCAGTCAGGATCAGATTTACATTCAGCTATAAAATAACACATTAACATAACATATACGAGGCTGCAGTTGTAAACTTACGTTTGTAACACATTACTTGTGGACTTCCAACCCAGCCGTCAGGACAATGACACGTTGGTCTGTGAATATTGGTCCTGCATTCAGCGTTCGTTCCGCAAGGGTTGGATAAAATACAAGGATCTTGGCAGCGTTGATTAATGCAAGATTTATCATTACTACATTCAGAATCCGATGCACACTCTACTTTAGTCTTGACTTCTTCGTAACATCTAATGAATGGATTTCCTGCCAAACCAGCAGGACATTTACAAACGGCTTTATGGTCCGTGGACTCGCATTCAGCCGTGGAAGCACAAGGGTTTCCTACTGAACACGGGTTAACGCATTTTCTGTTTAGGCAGGTTTGCGATAGAGGGCAATCGTCGTTGCTCTTACAGCCTGGTTCTTCTTGGGGTGCTATTTGGATACAAAACAAATATTATTTTTTTGTTTTACAAGGGTTGGTAATATTATTTTAGAAGCCTTATTAATAAATATGTTGCTGTTATAATAAAAGGAAAGGAATAGGTATTTGATAAATCCTGAAAAAAATTGCATGTATGTTAGTAAATTTGCTTTTAAAAATTGATTTGTTGTTAATCTTGTTGATTTCTTACCTAGTGTGCATCCAATTTCGGCGTCACCTACATATCCCGGTAAGCACATACAAGACATAGTTCTTAATGGCAGACTATCAATTACGATACATTGAGTGTTCTTTCCGCAAGGTTTGACTTCGGCGCATGGGTTCTTGCAAGTGCTGCTAAAGCAAGCCAATTTGCTCGGGCAATCAGCATCCATTCTGCATTCAGGTTCCTGTTCAATTGGTTGTATATTGCAAGCGCTCTCAGGATTTCCATTGTATCCCGGTGGACATGAACATTGAGGTCGGTGGTTTGTTACTTTGCAAATTGCACCCAAGCCGCAGTTGCATGGGTCTTCACAACGCTCGTTTCTGCAGGCCAAGTTGTAGGGGCATTCATCATCCTTAGTGCATTCAGGTCTCTCGCATCTTATCAAAGCATTTCCTCTGAAGTTATCTGGACAATAACATCTGGCTTTGTGGTTTGAATCGGCAGTACATAAAGCATTCAGTCCGCATGATGCGAACGAGCAAGGATCGACGCAATCGCGATTAACGCAAGCTTGTATTGGTGGACAATCAGAGTCGGCTCTGCATCCGATTTCGAAGCAAGCATGTTGTGCGTTACCTGTGTAACCGTCTCTGCAAGTGCATACGGCGCGATGTAATTGAATGCGGCATTCCGCGTTTTGTCCGCATAGCGATGGATTTTCTGCGCATGGGTTTACACAGATGTTGTTAACGCAAGCCTTGTCGTTTGTGCATTCAGAGTCAGTTGTGCATTCAACCTTTGGTTTTGGTTGTTCGATAGGTTGTAAGGTACACTGTACTTGTGGCGACCCGATGTACCCAGTTGGACAACTACAAATTGCATTGTGGTTCACCACTTGACATAAAGCGTTCAATCCGCAAGCGTCTCTGCACGGATCTCTACATTTCTGGTTGTAACATGCCTTGTCTCTTGGACAGTCTTGATTGATTATACATTCTGGGTACGTGCACACAGCATTTCCATTAACAAGTCTGCATTGACCGTTAAGTCTGCATGGTGACGGATTGCATGGATCTTCAGGTTCAGGTCTAGGTTCTTCTCTACACAACGTGAACGGATCGCCTGTAAGTGGTTTCGGGCAAGAACAAACCGGACTGTGGTTTATAACGTTGCAAACAGCTCCGAATCCGCATACGCCTGGGCATGGATCCACGCATTTCGTGTTCACGCAAGCCTTGTCACGTGCGCAATCTGCGCTTATAGTACATTCTGGTCTGCAACCACCTGCATGCGGGCTTCCAAAGAAGCCTGGCAGACATTCGCATATCGCGTTTTGTTGAGATGGTCTGCAAATAGTGTTAATTCCGCATGGAGATGGATTGCAAGGGTCACGTGGTGGCTCTTCTGCAAAGAGAAGACCATATTTTTATTTATTTGTTTAATAGTTTAAATTGTTTGCAATATTTTACAAACAATCTACAATTGCCAATTGAGTAGTAAATGACCAAAATGTATTAAATTATGAAGTGAAATTCAAAATTAATTAACAAATTGACATTGATACTTTACATTGTATTATTGTCATGCAAAATCTTGAAATTTGACTTACCAATAACTGGCGAACAGATTCTAAAAGCGTCTCCAGTGAACGTGTCTGGACACGAACAAATAGGAACATGGTTTGTCACGGTGCATAAAGCATTAACACCGCATGTTCCCGGGCATGGGTCTTGGCATTTGTTCCTGATGCAAGCTCTGTTCATTGGACAGTCGCTGTTGGATAGACATTCGGGTCTGCAACCTTCGTAAGGATTGCCATGGTATTCTGGTAGACATTCGCAGACAGCGTAGGTACTTTCAACGCGGCAATTCGCGTTTGATCCGCATGGCGATGGGTAGCATGGGTCTCTTGGTTCCGGTTGCGGTGGTGGTGGAGCTAAATAAAACAAATTGTATTAGAATATGTTGTAGATTAAACAAAGTGTTAGTATGAGTTGAATTACTGAAAGATTAACTACAGGCATGCATTACTTAATAGATGGAAATAAGTATAGGTCTAACCTGGTTTTAGAGAACAGATAGTGAAGGGATCTCCTACATAGTTTTCCAAACATATACAGTTTGGAATGTGGTTTGTAACGAGACAACGAGCATTAAGTCCGCAAGATCCCGGACATGGGTCTTTGCATTTGTTATTTATACACGCCAAATCTCTGGAGCAATCATGGTTTGTTACACATTCAGGTCTGCAATTTGGAGGGCTGCCGATAAATGTGGGTAAGCAAGTACATTTTGCTGTATTGCCGGGGGTAACTTCGCAATGTGAGTTTGCTCCGCAAGGTGAGGGCACGCAAGGATTAGGTGGTTCTTCTCGTATTACAGGCTCTTCAACTATATTTAAAGTTGAATTAACAGGAGTACATTTCGAGGTTATTGTATACATACCAATAATCACTTGGCATCTTATGAAGGGGTCGCCTGTGTAGCGTGGCGGACAAGTGCAAATGGGGTTGTGGTTCACAACTTGACATTGAGCGCTAATACCGCAAGTTCCAGGGCATGGGTCAATGCATTTTTGGTTTACGCAAGCTCTGCTAAGCGGGCATTCGGAACTTACAACGCATTCCGGTTTACAACTGGGTGGACTGCCGAAATAGCCTGGTACGCAAGAGCATACGGCTTGTCCGTTAATTTCCCTACATTGCGAGTTTGGTCCGCATGGTGATGGGTAACATGGATTTTTAGGAGGTGGGGCTAAATAAATTGACACGTTAGATTGGTTTTTATTATTTTGATTTGTGGACTTACTCTCTATTCTCGTGCAAAACACGAATGGATCTCCGTTGTATCCTTGCAAGCATGTGCAAGAAGGATAGTGGTTCATTACGTTACATTCAGCGTTTTGGCCGCATACTCCAGGGCAAGGGTCTTTACACTTTTGGTTGATACAAGCCTTATCTCTAGGACAATCATTGTTAAGTACGCATTCGGGTCTACATTCCCTATAAGGATCGCCGTGGTATTCAGGCAAACAAGTACATATTCCGTTGCTACATTGTGCATTTGGTCCGCAAGGGTTAGGGTAACATGGATCTACTTTTGGTGGTTCTAAAATGGTTTTATTAAAACAAAATTCACAAAAAATGTGATGTAACTTACGAGGTGGTGGTGGTATTGGATTACAAGAAGTAAAAGCATCTCCTTGATAACCAGTCGGGCAACTACATATGGGATTATGATTCCTTACTACGCAAATAGCGTTAATACCGCACGAACCAGGGCAAGGATCTTTACATTTTTCGTTGATACAAGCCAAATTACTTGAACATTCGGAATTGATCGTGCATTCAGGCCTACATGAAGGTGGATTTCCAATATAATTGGGCAAGCAAGAGCATGATGGCGAACCACCAATATCTCTGCATTGACTGTTTGGTCCACAAGGAGAGGGAACACAAGGATTTACAATACTTGGGACAGTTGGAGTAGGTGGAGGTGGTGGTATTGGATAACATCTAGTAAATGGATCGCCAGTATGACCCTGCGAACAACTACAAATCGGACTGTGGTTTATAACCTCACAACGAGCGTTCAGTCCACAAGTTCCGGGGCATGGGTCTACGCATTTCTGGTTGACACAAGCCTTATTTTGCGGACACTCCGAGCTAACAGTGCACTCGGGTCTGCAACCAGGTGGGCTACCGATGTAATTTGGTAGGCAAGAGCAAATGGCTTGCCCGTTATTTTCGCGACATTGCGAATTTGGCCCGCAAGGTGATGGGTAACAAGGATTACGTGGTGGTTCCTCTTTCAGGGCTGCAATAAAATAGGGGTAAATATATTGAGTTTTATGGGTTGCGTGAGTAATCTTACGTTCAGGTAACGAGCAGAATCTAAATGGATCGCCAGTATAGCCTGGTATGCATGTGCAAGATGGTAAGTGGTTAATTACTTGACAGTTGGCATTTTGTCCGCAAGTACCAGGACATGGGTCTTTACATTTTTGGTTTATGCAAGCTTTATTCGATGTACAATCAGAGTTAAGTATGCATTCAGGTCTGCAACCTTCGTAAGGATTTCCTATGTATTCTGGTAAACAGACACATGCGCCTGCATTATTCCTTTCTTTGCACATGGCGTTTGCTCCACATGGCGATGGGAAACATGGATTAATCTGATCAAGAGGTCTAGGTACGGATACTTCTGGCACTATACATCTTTGGAATGGATTTCCAGAGTATCCGTTCAAACAGACGCAGTTTGGTGTGTGGCTAACAACCCTACATTCTGCATTTATTCCGCACGTGCCAGGGCAAGGATCTTTACATTTTTGATTTATACAGGCCAAATGATTGGCACATTCACTGTTTGATACGCATTCAGGTCTACAATTTGGCGGGGCGCCAATAAACTGTGGCAAGCAGGAACACGATGGAGAACCGTTTACTTCCCTGCACTGAGAGTTTGGACCGCATGGTGATGGATTACAAGGGTTAACAGGAGTTTGTGGTGGATCTTCCCCTAAAAATGTTAAATTTATACCAACCTTAAGGCATATATTAGTGGTCTTACTTATTGGCAAACATCTTATGAACGGATCGCCAGTGTATCTACTTGGACAACTGCATATAGGATTGTGGTTTACGACCTGGCATCTCGCACTAAGTCCGCAAGTACCTGGGCAAGGATCTATACATTTTTGGTTTACGCATGCTTGACTTAGAGAACACTCTTGACTAGTTACACACTCAGGTCTACAAGTTGGCGGACTGCCAATGAAACCAGGCACGCAAGAGCATACAGCTTGTCCGTTAATTTCTCTACATTGTGAATTTGGTCCACACGGTGAAGGATTGCAAGGGTTCTTAGGTAACTCAACTAAAAATTAAAGTGTAAAACATTGATCAACCGTTAAAAATGCATTTATTATACCTGGAATAGGTGTGCAAAGTACGAAAGCGTTGCCGGTATAACCAGTAATGCAGGAACAAGATGGAATATGGTTAATGACAGCACATTCTGCGTTTTGACCACACGTTCCTGGACATGGATCTTTACATTTATTTCTAATGCAAGCCTTATCTCTTGAACAATCACTATTTAGCACGCATTCAGGTCTGCATCCTCTATAAGGATCGCCTTGGTATTCCGGCAAGCAAGTACATATGCCATTGTTGCATTGTGCATTTGGCCCGCATGGACTTGGGTTGCATGGGTCTGATTCAACCGGAGCAACAGGCAATGGTTTGGGGAAACAACTACTAAATGCATCTCCTGTATATCCTTCTGGACAACTACAAATCGGTGTATGATTTATCACGTTACAAATAGCGTTAGCTCCACAAGATCCTGGGCAAGGATCTCTGCATTTTTCGCGGATACAAGCCAAGTTGCTTGAGCATTCAGAGTTTATAGTGCATTCAGGCCTACAATTCGGAGGACTTCCTATATAATTGGAAATACATGAGCAAGATGGTGAACCGTTAAAGTCTTGACAAATGGAATGAGGACCGCATGGCGAAGGCACGCATGGGTTTGTATTTACAACCGGTATTGGATCTGAAGGAGGTGCTAAAATATTAAATTTATTAAAATGAGACTCTATTAGTATTTCTTAAGGATTCTTACGTGGTATTGGGTAGCATCTAGTAAACGGATCGCCAGTATGGCCAGGCGAACAACTACAAATAGGACTGTGGTTTATAACCTCACACTTGGCGTTTAATCCGCAAGTTCCAGGACAAGGGTCAACACATTTCTGGTTGACACAAGCCTTATTTAGCGGACACTCTGAGCTTACAGTACACTCGGGTCTGCAGCCAGGTGGGCTACCGATATAATTTGGTAAGCAAGAGCAAATTGCTTGTCCGTTATTTTCGCGACATTGAGAATTTGGTCCGCAAGGTGATGGGTTACAAGGATTACGTGGTGGTTCCTCTTTTAGGGCTGCAATAAAATAGAAATAAATATATTGAGTTTTATATGTTAAATAAGCAAACTCACGTTCAGGTAATGAGCAAAATCTGAATGGATCGCCAGTATAGCCTGGTATACATGTGCAAGATGGTAAGTGGTTAATAACTTGACATTCGGCATTTTGTCCACAAGTACCAGGACATGGGTCTTTACATTTATTGCTTATACAAGCCTTATTGGATGGACAATCAGAGTTCAGCACACATTCTGGCCTACAACCTTCGTAAGGATTTCCAATGTAGTCAGGTAAACAAGTACATGATCCAGCATTATTTTGTTCTCTACAAACCGCGTTTGCACCACACGGTGATGGGAAACATGGGTTTATAGTTTCAATGGGTCTTGGTGTTTCTGGTAAGTTACAACGGCTAAATGGATCTCCTATATATCCAGATAAACAAACACAATTTGGTGTGTGACTGACTACACGACATTCTGCGTTTTGTCCACATGTTCCAGGGCAAGGATCTTTACATTTTTGATTAATACACGCCAAATGATTGGCACATTCGCTGTTTGATACACATTCAGGTCTGCAATTTGGTGGGCTTCCTATAAACTCAGGTAAGCAAGAGCAAGATGGTGAACCGTTAACTTCTCTGCATTGAGCATTTGGTCCACAAGGTGATGGTTGACATGGGTTTGTAGGTACTACGACAGGTTCTTCAACTATTGCCAAACATCTTATAAATGGATCTCCAGAATATCTGGGTGGACAACTACAAATAGGGTTGTGGTTAACCACTTGACATAATGCGTTAATGCCACAGGTTCCCGGACAAGGATCTATACATTTCTGATTGACACAAGCCTTATTTAATTCACATTCTGAACTGGTAACACATTCAGGCCTACAGGTTGGTGGACTACCTATAAATCCAGGTACGCAAGAGCATACTGCTTGTCCATTGATTTCCCTACATTGCGAGTTGGGCCCGCATGGTGATGGATTGCAAGGATTCTTAGGGGTTTCATCAGGAATTCGTGAGCAAACAACAAAAGCGTTTCCAGTGTATCCTGTTATACAAGAGCATGATGGTATATGGTTAATTACAGCACATTCGGCGTTTTGACCGCAGGTGCCTGGGCAAGGGTCAACACACTTATTTCTTATGCAGGCCCTATTTCTTGGACAATCGTTGTTAAGTACGCATTCGGGTCTGCATCCTCTATAGGGATCTCCTTGGTATTCAGGCAGGCAAGTACATATTCCATTGTTACATTGTGCATTTGGACCACAAGGCGATGGATTGCATGGGTCTGTTTCGACTGGTTGGATTTCTTGTCGTTTAATACTACAATAAGTGAAAGGATCTCCAGTGTATCCTTCAGGGCATGTACAAATTGGTGTGTGATTGATAACTGAACATTGCGCTTCAGCTCCACAAGAGCCTGGGCAAGGATCTTTGCATTTTTGTCTGATACAAGCCAAGTTACTTGAACATTCTGAATTTATTGTACATTCTGGTCTGCAATTTGGTGGGCTGCCTATGTAAGTTGCGAGGCAAGAACAAGACGGTGAACCGCCAATATCTCTGCACTCAGAGTTAGGCCCACAAGGTGAAGGTACGCATGGATTTGTTACAACGGGTTGAAGAGGTATTACAGGTGGTGCTGAAAATATTAATGATAAAATTATGACTTACAAAATATTATGTTTAATTCTTACGTGGTATTGGGTAACATCTGGTGAACGGATCTCCAGTATTGCCAGGTACGCAACTACATATAGGGCTATGATTAATTACTTGACAATTTGCGTTTAATCCGCAAGTTCCCGGACATGGATTGGCACATTTCTGATTAATGCAAGCCTTGTTTTGTGCACATTCTGAGCTTACAGTACACTCAGGGCGACAACCTGGTGGGCTACCTACATATTCCGGTAAACAAGAGCAAACAGCCTGGCCGTTAACTTCGCGACATTGCGAATTTGGACCGCATGGAGATGGTTGACAAGGATTTTGAGGGTCTTCCACAGTAGCTAAAACAATAGATGTTGTAGAAAGAGTTTTTAATAAATATTCAAAGCTTACGTTCTGGTGGAGGAATGCTGCAGTATCTAAATGGATCTCCAGTATAACCAGGTATACAAGTACATTGAGGTAAATGGTTAATAACTTGACAATTAGCGTTTTGTCCGCATGTTCCAGGGCAAGGATCCTTGCATTTATTACTTATACAAGCCTTATTAGATGGACAATCTGAATTCAATGTACACTCTGGTCGGCAACCTTCGTAAGGGTTTCCTATATACTCTGGCAAACAAGAGCACGAACCAGCACCGTTTTGTTCTCTACAAACAGCATTAGCTCCGCATGGTGATGGTACGCATGGTGTTGGTCTTTCGTATGGCGGTTCTTCAACCTTTTGTTGACATTGTACAAATGGATTTCCTACATATCCAGCTAAGCATACGCAATTTGGAGTGTGACTTACAACTCTGCATTCAGCGTTATGGCCGCAAGTTCCAGGGCAAGGATCTTTACATTTCTGATTGATACAAGCTAAGTGATTTGCACATTCGCTATTTGATACGCATTCAGGTCTACAATTTGGTGGTGTACCGATAAATTCTGGTAAGCAAGAACAAGATGGCGCATCACCCACAACTCTGCATTGTGCGTTTGGACCGCACGGTGATGGCTGGCATGGATTTGTAGGTACTACAACAGGTTCTTCTCTTATAGGTAGACATCTAGTAAATGGATCTCCAGTTTGTGCTGGTGGACAACTACAAATTGGATTGTGATTGACTACTTGGCATATGGCGCTTAATCCGCAAGTTCCTGGACATGGATCGATACATTTTTGGTTAACACAAGCTCTATTCAATGGACATTCAGAACTTGAAACACATTCAGGCCTACATGTTGGTGGACTTCCAATAAATCCTGGTACACATGAGCATACAGCTTGTCCATTTATTTCCCTACATTGTGAGTTTGGTCCACATGGTGATGGATTACATGGATTCTTAGGTGTTTCCTTTGGTATTGGCGAGCAAATAACAAATGCATTGCCAGTGTATCCTGTTATACAGGAGCATGTTGGAATATGGTTAATAACTGCACATTCAGCGTTTTGTCCACACGTTCCCGGACATGGATCTTTACATTTATTTCTAATACAAGCCTTATCTCTTGGACAATCGCTATTAAGCACACATTCAGGTCTGCATCCTCTATAAGGATCGCCTTGGTATTCCGGCAAGCAAGTACATATTCCATTGTTACATTGCGCATTTGGCCCGCAAGGGCTTGGATTGCAAGGGTCACTTTCGACTGGTTGAATTTCTGGTGGCTTTGGTGTGCAATAACTAAATGGATCTCCAGTGTATCCTTCAGGGCATGTACAAATTGGTGTGTGGTTTATTACAGAACATTGTGCTCCAGCACCACAAGAACCCGGGCAAGGATCTCTGCATTTCTGCGTGATACAAGCCAAGTTACTTGGACATTCTGAATTTATCGAACATTCTGGCCTGCAATTGGGTGGGCTTCCTATATAAGTGGCTAAACAAGAGCATGATGGAGAACCACCAATGTCTCTGCATTGGCTATTTGGACCACACGGGGACGGTACGCAAGGATTTCTTATTGGTTCTTCAGCAATCGTTTGAGGTGGGGCTATAAGAATATACATTTAGATAAAAGTAAAACTAACATTAAAAAAATCTTACGAGGTATGGGGTAACATCTAGTAAAAGGATCACCAGTATGACCTGGATTGCAACTGCAAATAGGACTGTGATTGATTGCTTGGCATTTAGCGTTTAATCCGCAAGTTCCAGGGCATGGGTCAATGCATTTTTGATTTACACAAGCCTTATTTTGTGGGCATTCTGAACTGACTACACACTCTGGTCTACAACCTGGTGGACTACCAATATATTCAGGCAAACAAGAACATACTGCCTGACCGTTTACTTCTCTACATTGCGAGTTTGGTCCGCATGGTGATGGTTGGCATGGATTTGTAGGTTCTTCTTGTTGCACAGCTAAAATAAATTAAATGAATCCAGGCCTTATACAATTTTTTGTTAAGAACTCACGTTCTACATGCATGTTACAGTATCTAAATGGATCTCCAGTAAAACCTGGTAGACAGGTACAAGATGGCAAATGATTTACCACTTGACACTGTGCATTCTGTCCGCATGTTCCAGGACAAGGATCAACACATTTGTTTCTTATACAAGCCTTATTCGAAGGACAATCTGAGTTTATTGAGCATTCTGGCCTACATCCTTCATAAGGATTTCCAATAAATTCTGGTAAACAAGAGCAAGAACCAGCTCCATTTTGTTCTTTGCAAATTGCATTTGCCCCGCACGGTGAAGGCAAGCATGGAGTAGGTCTTTCGACAACTGGTGGACGAGCTAATAAAATAACATGTTTAAGCATATTTTGTCAAGAGTAATAATAATTATACATACTTTCTAAATTACAGAATGAGAACGGATCACCCAAATATCCAGGCAAACATACACAATTGGGAGTGTGACTAATAACTCTGCATTCAGCGTTTTGTCCGCACGTACCAGGGCATGGGTCTTTACATTTTTGGTTGATACAAGCCAAGTGATTGGCACATTCGCTGTTACTGACACACTCAGGTTTGCAATTTGGAGGCGAACCAATAAACTCTGGCAAGCAAGAGCATGACGGTAAATCACCAACAGCTCTGCATTGAGAATTTGGACCACAAGGAGATGGTTGGCATGGATTTGTCGGTACAAAAACAGGTTCTTCTCTTATTGGTGTGCATCTTACAAATGGATCTCCTGTAAATCTAACTTGACAACTACAAATCGGATTGTGGTTGACCACTTGACATTGCGCGTTTATGCCGCAAGTACCTGGACAGGGGTCGATACATTTTTGGTTAACACAGGCTTGACTAAGAGAACATTCTTGACTAGTCACACACTCGGGTCTGCAAGATGGGGGACTTCCCATAAATCCTGGTACACAAGAACATACAGCTTGTCCATTTATTTCCCGACATTGCGAGTTTTGCCCACACGGTGATGGGTTACATGGATTTGTTTGTATTGGTGCTGGTATTCTATTACATAAGACAAAAGCATTGCCAGTATATCCTTGTAGGCAAGAACAAGTTGGAATATGATTAATAACAGCACATTCAGCGTTTTGGCCACACGTTCCAGGGCAAGGATCTTTGCATTTATTTCTTATACAAGCCTTATTTCTTGGACAATCGTTATTTAGCACACATTCAGGCCTACATCCTCTAGAAGGATCTCCCTGGTATTCTGGCAAACAAGTACATATTCCATTGTTACATTGTGCATTGGAACCACATGGTGATGGATTGCATGGGTCTGTTTCAACTGGCTGAATCTCTTGTGGTTTGATGTTACAATAAGTAAATGGATCGCCAACATATCCCTCAAGACAAGTACATATCGGTACGTGGTTTAATACATTACAAACAGCGTTGCTTCCGCATGATCCTGGACATGGATCTCTGCATTTCTGCGTAATGCAAGCCAAGTTACTTGAACATTCTGAATTGATTGTACATTCCGGTCGGCAATTTGGAGGTTGACCGATATAAGTTGTCAAGCACGAACACGATGGAGCTCCTCCAATGTCTCGACATTCTGAGTTTGGCCCACATGGTGATGGTACACATGGGTTTGTAATAATAGCCGGCACAGGTTCTGGAGGAGGTGCTAAAATATGTATTTTGTGAGTATACATGAAATTTTTTATAGAAAAAATTAACTTACGTGGTATTGGGTAACATCTGGTGAACGGATCACCAGTAAATCTGGAGTTGCAACTACATATAGGGCTGTGGTTTATCACTTCACACTTGGCATTAATACCGCACGTACCTGGGCACGGATCAGCGCACTTTTGATTGATACAAGCTTTATTAAGAGGACATTCAGAGCTTACGACACATTCAGGCCTGCATGATGGTGGACTACCGATATAATTTGGCAAGCACGAGCAAATAGCTTGTCCGTTATTCTCGCGACATTGCGAATTTGGCCCACAAGGTGATGGTTGGCAAGGGTTTTTAGGAGTATCTTCGATAACAGCTAAAAGGTTTTGGTTGTAAATTTTGTTTTTTAAATTAATAGAGAACTTACGTTCAGGAGCTGGTATTGTGCAATAGGTATATGGATCGCCGGTATAGCTAGGGAAACATGTACAAGATGGCAAGTGGTTTACTACTTGGCAGTTGGCATTTTGTCCGCAAGTTCCAGGGCAAGGGTCTACACACTTGTTACTAACACAGGCTTTGTTTGAAGGACAATCAGAGTTAAGGACACATTCGGGTCTACATCCTTCGTAGGGATTGCCAATATAGTCTGGCAAACAAGAGCAAGAGCCTGCGTTATTACGTTCTTTGCAAATAGCATTAGCGCCACATGGTGACGGGGAACATGGTGTAATTATTTCAGAGGGTGGAGCTGAAATATTAAATATATGGGTCAATAATTTTTATGGATCTGTGGGTTAATGTTATTAAGCATATTGTTAGGTGAAGGTTATGGGGTTCAGGGATAAACAAACAGCTAATACAAAGCATTCTTACATGGTGGTAAATTACATCTGGAGAACGGATCTCCTATGTATCCAGGTAAGCATACGCAATTTGGTGTGTGGCTAATGACGCGACATTCTGTGTTTTGTCCGCATGTACCGGGGCAAGGATCTTTACATTTTTGATTAATACACGCCAAATGATTGGCACATTCGCTGTTACTAACGCATTCAGGTCTACAGTTTGGAGGCGAACCAGTAAATTCTGGCAGGCAAGAGCAAGATGGCGAATCACCAATCACTCTGCATTGAGAGTTTGGACCGCATGGTGATGGTTGACATGGGTCAGTTGGTGTAACAACTGGCTCTTCTTCTAAAATATTTATAAATGTGTTATTACGACATTTAAACATTGTTAAAATAACTTACGTATTGGCAAACACCTTACAAACGGATCGCCAGTTTGTCGTGGAGGGCAACTACATATAGGGTTGTGATTTACAACTTGACATAAAGCGTTAATACCACAAGTTCCCGGGCAAGGATCTATGCATTTCTGATTTACACAGGCCTTGTTTAACGAACATTCTGAACTAGTAACACATTCAGGCCTACAAGTTGGTGGACTGCCTATAAATCCTGGTACGCAAGAGCATACAGCTTGTTGATTGATTTCTCTGCATTGGGAGTTCGGTCCACAAGGAGATGGGTTACATGGGTTCACAATAGTTGGCTCTGGTATTTTTGAACATAATATAAAAGCGTTACCAGTGTAGCCTGATATACAAGTACACATTGGTATGTGATTGATAACTGAACATTCAGCGTTTTGTCCGCAAGTTCCAGGGCAAGGATCAACACATTTATTCCTTATACAAGCCTTATTTCTTGGACAATCATTATTAAGAACACATTCAGGTCTGCATCCTCTATACGGATCCCCTTGATATTCAGGCAAACAAGTACAAATTCCATTATTGCATTGAGCATTAGCACCACATGGTGATGGATTGCATGGGTCTGTTTCAACTGGTTGAATCTCTTGCGGTTTTAACTGACAATAACTAAATGGATCCCCAGTGTAACCGGCTGGACAAGTACAAATCGGTGTGTGATTTATAACGGAACACTGTGCTTCTACTCCGCAAGAACCTGGACAAGGATCTTTGCATTTTTGGCGGATACAGGCCAAGTTACTAGAGCATTCAGGATTTATTGTACATTCGGGTTTGCAATTTGGTGGACTACCGAAGTAGTTTGGTAAGCAAGAGCATGACGGAGAACCGTTTGTATCTCTACATTGACTGTTGGGTCCACACGGAGATGGCACGCAAGGGTTTCTGTAAGGTTCCACTTCTTGAACAGGTGGAGGAGCTAAAGAGATATTGATATAGAAAAATATAGTTTAATTTAATATTAGAAAAATCTTACGTGGTATTGGGTAACATCTTGTAAATGGATCACCAGTATGACCTGAATTACAACTGCATATAGGACTGTGATTGATTACTTGACATTTGGCGTTTAATCCGCAAGTTCCAGGACAAGGATCGACGCATTTTTGATTGACACATGCCTTATTTTGTGGACATTCAGAGCTAACAGTACACTCAGGTCTGCATGATGGTGGACTACCGATATATTCGGGCAGACAAGAGCAAACAGCTTGTCCGTTAATTTCTTTACATTGCGAGTTTGGACCGCAGGGTGATGGTTGGCAAGGGTTTTTAGGAGCGTCTTCAACAACAGCTAAAATATTTTTTTGTCAAACAAGTTTAAAAATTTATAATTTTTAACTTACGTTCTGGCGTGGGAAGGTTACAATATCTAAACGGATCGCCTGTATAGCCAGGTAAGCAAGTACATTGTGGTAAATGATTCATAACACGACAATTCGCATTTTGTCCGCAAGTTCCTGGGCAAGGATCTCTACATTTATTGTTTACACAAGCCTTATTTGATGGACAATCGGAGTTAATGGTGCATTCAGGTCTACATCCTTCGTAAGGATTACCGATGTAGCCTTCGACGCAAGTACAAGCTCCGGCATTATTTCTTTCTTTGCAAATTGCGTTTGCACCACACGGAGATGGCGAGCAAGGCGCAATATGTTCATGAACTGGCGGTGCTAATGGTAACTGACATTGGACAAATGGATTTCCTACATAGCCTTGGATACAGACACAATTTGGCGAATGTGAAACTACTCTACATTCAGCATTTTGGCCGCATATTCCTGGGCATGGATCTTTACATTTTTGGTTGATACAAGCCAAATGGCTTGAGCATTCACTATTACTGACACATTCCGGTCTACAATTTGGCGGTGAACCTATAAATTCTGGCAAGCAAGAACACGAAGGTGAATCCCCAATTTCTCTGCATTGAGAGTTTGGACCACAAGGTGATGGTTGGCACGGATTTGTAGGTACTACAATAGGTTCCTCAACAATTTGTGTACATCTTACAAAAGGATCACCGGTAAAACGTGGAGGACAAGTACATATAGGATTATGATTTACGACTTGACAATTAGCAGCTAAACCGCAAGTGCCTGGGCAAGGATCAATACATTTTTGGTTAACACATGCTCTGTTTAAGGAACATTCTTGACTAGTTACACATTCAGGTCTACATGCTGGTGGACTTCCGATAAATTCTGGTACACAAGAGCATACCGCTTGTCCATTTATTTCCCTACATTGTGAGTTTGGCCCACAAGGTGATGGGTTACATGGATTTGTTGGTGTCGGTGCTGGGATTCTGTTACATAAAACAAAAGCGTTTCCTGTATATCCTTGAATACAAGTACAAATTGGTATGTGATTGACTATAGAGCATTCGGCGTTTTGTCCGCAGGTGCCAGGGCAAGGATCGACACATTTATTTCTTATACAAGCCTTATTCCTTGGACAATCATTGTTAAGTACACATTCAGGTCTGCATCCTCTATAAGGATCACCTTGATATTCAGGCAAACACGTACATATTCCATTGTTGCATAAAGCATTAGCACCACATGGTGATGGATTGCATGGGTCTGTTTCAACTGGTTGAATTTCTTGAGGTTTTAATTGACAGTAACTAAATGGATCTCCAGTGTAACCATCTGGACAACTACAAATTGGTGTATGATTGATAACTGAACATTGTGCTCCAGATCCGCAAGAACCTGGGCAAGGATCTCTGCATTTTTCTCTGATACAAGCCAAGTTACTTGGACATTCTGAGTTTATTGAACACTCTGGCCTGCAATTTGGCGGGCTTCCTATATAATTAGCTAAACAAGAACATGATGGAGATCCACCGATGTCTCTGCATTCGCTATTTGGACCACATGGGGATGGTACGCAAGGGTTTCTAATTGGTTCTTCGGCAATTACTGTTGGTGGTGCTATAAGAATACACAATTAGATGAAGACAACCTAACATTAAAAAAAATCTTACGAGGTGTTTGGTAACATCTAGTGAAAGGATCACCAGTGTGACCTGGATTGCAACTGCAAATAGGACTGTGATTAATAACTTGACATTTAGCGTTTAATCCGCAAGTTCCAGGACAAGGATCAACACATTTCTGATTGACACAGGCCTTATTTTGTGGACATTCAGAGCTAACAGTACACTCAGGTCTGCATGATGGTGGACTACCGATATATTCGGGTAAACAAGAGCAAACAGCTTGTCCGTTCACTTCCCTGCATTGTGAGTTTGGACCGCAAGGTGATGGTTGACAAGGGTTTGTAGGAGTATCTTCGACAACAGCTAAAATAAATGTTTTTAGTAAATAATTTAAAGAATGCAAAGGTTTTCTCTTACGTTCTGGAGGTGGAATGTTACAATAACTATAAGGATCGCCAGTGTAACCAGGTATACAAGAACATTGTGGGAGATGGTTTAATACGTGGCAGTTTGCGTTCGTACCACAAGTTCCTGGGCATGGGTCTATACATTTATTTCTTACGCAAGCTTTATTTTGTGGGCAATCTGAGTTTAGGGTGCATTCAGGCCTACATCCTTCGTAAGGATTTCCTATGTATTCAGGCAGACAAGTACAAGCACCTGCTTTGTTTTGAACTCTACATTGAGCGTTAGCTCCACACGGTGAAGGTTGACAAGGTGATATATTTTCTACAGGTATAGGTGCTGGAATAATGCTACAAAGCGAGAATGGATCTCCAGTATAACCAGGTATACAAACACAATTTGGCGAATGGCTTATAACTCTACACTCTGCATTTTGTCCGCAGGTACCAGGGCAAGGATCTTTGCATTTCTGATTTATACAAGCTAAATGGCTCGAGCATTCACTGTTACTAACACATTCAGGTCTGCAATTTGGTGGTGAACCTATAAATTCCGGCAAACAAGAGCAAGATGGCGAATCGCCAATGACTTTGCATTGTGCATTTGGTCCACACGGCGATGGTTGACAGGGATTTACTACCACTGGTTCTTCAATTGCTAAAATAATTTAATTAGGCTTGATTTTTAAAATGACTTGGTTAAACTTACGAATTGGTGTACATCTGACAAACGGATCTCCAGTATATCTCGGCGGGCAAGTGCATATAGGATTGTGATTGATAACCTGACATTTAGCTGAAAGGCCACAAGTTCCAGGGCAAGGATCAATACATTTCTGATTTACGCAAGCTTTAGTTAAAGAACATTCGTTACTCGAAATACATTCAGGCCTACAAGTTGGTGGACTTCCAATGTAATTTGGTAAACAAGAACAAACAGCTTGTTGATTAATTTCTCTGCATTGCGAGTTTGGACCGCAAGGAGATGGCTGGCAAGGGTTTTGTGCAACAGGGACTAAAATATATTTATTAGTAAGGTGTAAAAATTTAAATATGTTTATTTACCTCTAATTTCGGTACATAAAACAAAAGCATTTCCAGTATAACCAGGTTGACAAGAACACATAGGTATGTGATTGTAAACTTGGCATATTGCGTTTTGACCACAAGTTCCTGGGCATGGATCTTTACATTTATTTTTTATACAAGCCTTGTCTCTTGGACAATCATTATTAAGTACGCATTCAGGTCTGCATCCTCTGTAAGGATCACCTTGGTATTCTGGCAAACAAGTACATATTCCATTATTGCATTGAGCATTGGCACCACATGGCGATGGATTGCATGGGTCAGTTTCAACTGGTTGAATCTCTTGTGGTTTTATATTACAAAAACTGAATGGGTCTCCGGTATAACCAGATGGACAAGTACAAATTGGTGTGTGATTAATAACGGAACATTGTGCTCCTACTCCGCAAGAACCTGGGCAAGGATCTCTGCATTTTTCGCGGATACAAGCCAAGTTACTTGGACATTCAGAGTTTATCGAACATTCTGGTCTACAATTTGGTGGGCTTCCCATATAATTAGCTAAACAGGAACACGATGGAGAACCATTTGTGTCTCTGCATTGTGAGTTTGGACCGCAGGGTGAAGGTACACAAGGATTAACATAAATGTTTTCAACTGGAGGCGAAATTGGCGCTAAAATATGAAAATAAATAATTTTCACCAAGTTTTATAATCAATATTTCTTACGTGGTATAGGGTAGCATCTCGTAAACGGATTTCCGGTATATCCGGATTGACAGCTACAAATAGGACTATGATTTATTACTTGGCAATTAGCTCCAACTCCGCATGTTCCTGGACATGGGTCTACGCATTTTTGATTTACACAAGCCCTAGTTAATGCACATTCAGAGCTGACAACACATTCAGGTCTGCATGATGGTGGACTGCCGATATAATCTGGCAAACAAGAGCAAATAGCTTGCCCGTTATTTTCGCGACATTGCGAGTTTGGTCCACAAGGTGAGGGTTGGCAAGGATTTTTGGGTGTTTCTTCCATAAGAGCTAAAAAATTTTAGGCGTAAGGCATAAACTTTTTTTTTTAAAAAGAAACTTACGTTGCTGGACAGGTATAGGGCTGCAATAACTAAATGGATCTCCTGTATATCCAGGAATACAAGTACAAGATGGGACATGATTAATAACTTGGCAGGTAGCACTAGGTCCGCAAATTCCAGGGCATGGGTCTTTACATTTTTGGTTGATACAAGCCTTATTCGATGGACAATCTGAGTTTATTGAGCATTCTGGCCTACATCCTTCGTAAGGATTTCCAATAAATTCTGGCAAACAAGTACAAGAACCAGCTCCATTCTGTTCTTTACATACAGCATTGGAACCACATGGTGATGGTGAGCAAGGTGACAATATCTCTTGTTTAATGGGTTCGGGTAATTGGCAAGCACTAAATGGATTACCGAAATAACCATTTATACAAATACAATTTGGAGTGTGACTCACAACTCTACATTCAGCGTTTATTCCGCAAGTTCCTGAGCATGGGTCTTTACATTTTTGATTTATACAAGCCAAATGATTGGCACATTCGCTGTTTGATACACATTCAGGTCTGCAGTTTGGAGGCGAACCAATAAATTCTGGCAAGCAAGAGCATGATGGTGAATCACCAACGGCTCTGCACTGTGAGTTTGGACCACATGGTGAAGGTTGGCATGGATTTGTTGGTACAACAATTGCTTCTTCTACGATTTGTGTACATCTTATAAATGGATCTCCAGTAAAACGCTGTGGACAAGTACAAATAGGATTGTGATTCACAACTTGACAATTGGCTCCAATTCCACAAGTACCCAAACAGGGGTTTATGCATTTTTGATTTTGACATGCTTCGTTAAGAGGACATTCTGAACTTGTAACACATTCAGGCCTACATGTTGGCGGACTTCCAATGAAGCCAGGTACACAAGAGCATACGGCTTGTTGATTGATTTCTCTACATTGTGAGTTTGGTCCACATGGAGACGGGTTACATGGGTGCGTTATAACTGGTTCTGGTATTCTCGAACATAATATAAAGGCGTTACCGGTATATCCTGATATGCAACTACACATTGGTATGTGATTGATAACAGAACATTCAGCGTTTTGTCCGCAAGTTCCAGGGCAAGGATCAACACATTTATTCCTTATGCAAGCCTTATTCTTTGGACAATCGTTATTTAGTACACATTCAGGTCTACATCCTCTGTAAGGATCTCCTTGGTATTCTGGCAAACAAGTACATATTCCTGTATCGCATTGTGCATTTGATCCGCAAGGGCTTGGGTTACAAGGATCTGTTTCGATTGGCTGAATCTCTTGTGGTTTAATGTTACAATAAGTAAATGGATCTCCAGTATAACCCTCAGGACAAGTACAAATTGGGGTGTGATTTATAACTGAACATTGCGCACCAGCTCCGCAGGAACCTGGACAAGGGTCCTTACATTTTTCGCGGATACAAGCTAGATTACTTGGACATTCAGAGTTTATTGAGCATTCTGGCCTACAATTTGGCGGGCTTCCTATATAATTAGCTAAACAAGAACATGATGGAGAACCACCAATGTCTCTGCATTGGCTATTTGGACCACACGGTGATGGTATGCAAGGGTTTCTTATCGGTTCTTCGGCAATAACTGGAGGTGGTGCTAAAAGGATATAAATTAAGATAAAGGAAAACTTACTTTAAAGAAATATCTTACGAGGTATTGGGTAACATCTGGTGAAAGGATCACCAGTATGACCTGAATTGCAACTGCAAATAGGACTGTGATTGATAACTTGACATTTAGCGTTTAATCCGCATGTTCCAGGACAAGGATCAACACATTTCTGATTGACACAGGCCTTATTCTGTGGACATTCAGAGCTAACAGTACACTCAGGTCTGCATGATGGTGGACTACCGATATATTCGGGTAAACAAGAGCAAACTGCTTGTCCGTTTACTTCCCTACATTGCGAGTTTGGTCCGCAAGGTGATGGTTGACAAGGGTTTTTAGGAGCATCTTCGACAACAGCTAAAATAAATATTTTTAGAAAATAGTTTAAAGAATGTGAAGGTTTTCTCTTACGTTCTGGAGGTGGAATGTTACAATATCTATAAGGATCGCCAGTGTAACCAGGTATACAAGAACATTGTGGGAGATGGTTTAATACGTGACAGTTTGCGTTCGTACCACAAGTTCCTGGGCATGGGTCTATACATTTATTTCTGACACAAGCTTTATTTTGCGGGCAATCTGAGTTTAGGGTGCATTCAGGTCTACATCCTTCGTAAGGATTTCCTATGTACTCTGGTAAACAAATACAGGAACCAGCACCATTTTGTTCTCTACACTGAGCATTTGCTCCACATGGAGAAGGTGAGCAAGGTGATAAATGTTCTTGAGGGATTTGAGCTAAAATTTGTCAAATTAATTTAAGATTCCTAGTATTTTTTAATAAAATGACTTACGTGGTTGGACAGTACACTGTGTAAATGGATCTCCAATATACCCAATGGGGCAAATACAATTTGGAGTATGGCTTATAACTCTACATTCGGCATTTTGTCCGCAAGTACCAGGGCAAGGATCTTTACATTTTTGATTAATACAAGCTAAGTGATTTGCACATTCGCTATTACTAACACATTCTGGTCTACAGTTTGGTGGTGAACCAATAAACTCTGGCAGGCAAGAACATGATGGTGAATCACCAACAGTTCTGCATTGTGAGTTCGGACCACATGGTGATGGCTGGCAAGGATTTGTAGGAACTACAACAGGTTCTTCCATAATTGGTGTACACCTTACGAATGGATCACCGGTAAAACGTGATGGACAAGTACAGATAGGGTTGTGATTTACTACTTGACAATTAGCAGCTAAGCCGCAAGTGCCAGGGCAAGGATCAATACATTTTTGGTTAACACAGGCATTATTTAAGGAACATTCTTGACTAGTAACACACTCGGGTCTACATGCTGGCGGGCTACCAATAAATCCTGGTACACAAGAGCATACAGCTTGTCCATTTATTTCCCTACATTGTGAGTTAGGTCCACAAGGTGATGGGAAGCATGGATTTTTAGGGGCTTCAACTAGAAATACAATTGTTAAAATAACGTCTGAAGTTGAGATTAGAGTTAGTTTACCTGGTATAAGATTACACATGATAAAAGCGTTTCCAACAAAACCTTGCAAACAAGTACACATAGGTATGTGGTTTATAACACTACATTCTGCGTTTTGACCACACGTTCCTGGACAAGGATCTTTACATTTGTTTCTTATACAAGCCTTATCTCTTGGACAATCGTTATTAAGTACGCATTCGGGTCTGCATCCTCTATACGGATCACCTTGGTATTCTGGGAAACAAGTACAGATTCCATTATTGCATTGAGCATTGGCACCACATGGCGATGGATTGCATGGGTCAGTTTCAACTGGTTGAATCTCTTGTGGTTTTATATTACAATAACTAAATGGATCACCGGTATAACCTTCAGGACATGTACAAATTGGCGTGTGGTTTATAACATTACATTGAGCTCCTGCTCCGCAAGAACCTGGGCAAGGATCTCTACATTTTTCTCGGATACAAGCCAAATTACTTGGACATTCTGAGTTAATCGAACATTCTGGCCTACAATTTGGTGGACTTCCAATGTAATTAGCTAAACAAGAACACGATGGAGAACCACCGATGTCTCTGCATTGGCTATTTGGACCACAAGGGGATGGTACGCAAGGATTTCTTATTGGTTCTTCGGCAATTACTGGTGGTGGTGCTATAATAATACACAATTAGATGAAGGAAAATTAACATTCAAAAAAATCTTACGAGGTATTGGGTAACATCTAGTGAAAGGATCTCCAGTATGACCTGGATTGCAACTGCAAATAGGACTGTGATTGATAACTTGACATTTAGCGTTTAATCCGCAAGTTCCAGGACAAGGATCAACACATTTCTGATTGACACAGGCCTTATTCTGTGGACATTCAGAGCTAACAGTACACTCAGGTCTGCATGATGGTGGACTACCGATATATTCGGGCAAACAAGAGCAAACAGCTTGTCCGTTTACTTCCCTACATTGCGAGTTTGGACCGCAAGGTGATGGTTGACAAGGGTTTCTAGGGGCGTCTTCCACAACAGCTAAAATAATATGAGTTTAGTAGGGGGGATTTTCAATGCATATAAAATGCTTACGTTCTGGGGGAGGAATACTGCAATATCTAAATGGATCTCCAGTATAACCAGGGATACAAGTACATTGTGGTAAATGATTTATAACTTGGCAATTAGCGTTTTGTCCGCATGTTCCAGGGCAAGGATCAACACATTTATTTCTTATGCATGCCTTATTTGATGGACAATCTGAGTTTATAGAGCATTCCGGTCTACATCCTTCGTAAGGGTTTCCTATATATTCAGGTAGGCATACACAAGCTCCTGCACCGTTTCTTTCTTTGCAAACAGCATTTACACCACATGGAGATGGCATACATGGATTCAAATTTTCTACAGGCCTTGATGTTTCTTGTAACGAGCATAAAGTAAATGGATCTCCAAAGTATCCAGGTAAACATACGCAATTTGGAGCGTGACTTACAACCCTACATTCAGCATTTTGTCCGCAAGTTCCAGGACATGGGTCTTTACATTTTTGATTGATACAAGCCAAATGATTGGCACACTCGCTGTTACTGACACATTCTGGTCTACAATTTGGTGGTGAGCCTATAAATTCTGGTAAACAAGAACATGATGGCGAATCACCAACAGCTCTGCATTGAGAGTTTGGACCACATGGTGATGGTTGGCATGGATTTGTAGATACTACAACAGGTTCTTCAACGATTTGTGTACATCTTACGAATGGATCTCCGGTAAAACGTGGCGGACAAGTACATATAGGGTTGTGATTTACCACTTGACAATTTGCGGCTAAACCGCAAGTGCCCGGGCAAGGATCAATACATTTTTGGTTAACACAGGCATTATTTAAGGAACATTCTTGACTAGTTACACATTCAGGCCTACATGTTGGTGGACTACCAATGTATCCAGGTACACAAGAACATACCGCTTGACCATTGTACTCTCTACATTGTGAGTTTGGTCCACAAGGTGATGGAGAACAAGGGTTTTGTGGTAATTCAACTAAAATATAATTATATGTTAAAGGGAACTTATTAAAGGTTAAATATATTTTACCTGGAGGCGGATTGCACATGACAAAAGCATTTCCAATGTAGTTCTCTATACAAGAACACATTGGTATGTGGTTAATTACTGAACAAATAGCATTGGTTCCACATGTTCCTGGGCAAGGATCTTTACATTTATTTCTGATACAAGCCTTATCCCTTGGACAATCACTATTAAGCACGCATTCAGGTCTGCATCCTCTGTAAGGATCGCCTTGGTATTCAGGCAAGCAGGTACATATTCCATTGTTACATTGCGCATTTGGCCCGCAAGGGCTTGGATTGCAAGGGTCAGTTTCGACTGGCTGAATTTCTTGTGGTTTAATGTTACAATAAGTAAATGGATCTCCAGTATAACCTTCAGGGCATGTACAAATTGGTGTGTGATTTAAAACATTACATTGAGCTCCAGCTCCGCAAGAACCCGGACAAGGATCTCTGCATTTTTCGCGAATGCAAGCCAAGTTACTTGGACATTCTGAGTTTATTGTACACTCTGGCCTGCAGTTTGGTGGGCTTCCAACAAAGTTTGGTAAGCAACTACAAGATGGACTGTTTCCTATTACTCTGCATTGTGAGTTAGGACCACAAGGCGATGGTAAGCAAGGATCTAATGAAATATGTTGTACCGGTTCGGGTTGAGGTGCTAAAATGAATTAATAAGCAACATAAATAAATATTTATTTTCACAATCCTTACGTGGTATTGGATAGCATCTAGTAAATGGATCACCAGTGTGTCCAGCCCTACAACTACAAATCGGACTATGTTTTCTGACTTGACAGTTGGCATTTAGACCACAAGTGCCAGGACATGGATCTACGCATTTCTGATTGACACAAGCCTTATCTTGTGGACACTCAGAGCTAACAACGCATTCAGGGCGACAACCTGGCGGACTACCGATATAAGTTGGTAAGCATGAGCAAACAGCTTGTCCGTTTACTTCGCGACATTGACTATAGGGTCCACAAGGTGAAGGTTGGCAAGGATTTTGTGGGGTGGTATCACGAATAGCTAAAATAAAACTATAAGAAAAAGGATTTTTGATGAAAGTAATATTCTTACGTTCTGGCGGAGGAATGCTACAATATCTAAATGGATCACCAATATAGCCAGATATACAAGTACAAGAAGGTAAATGATTTATAACTTGACAATTAGCGTTTTGTCCGCAAGTTCCAGGGCAAGGATCTACGCATTTATTTCTTATGCAGGCCTTATTTGATGGACAATCTGAGTTTATAGAGCATTCAGGTCTACATCCTTCGTAGGGGTTTCCAATGTATTCTGGCAAACATGTGCAAGATCCTGCGTTATTGCGTTCTTTACACACAGCATTGGCTCCACATGGGGATGGTACACAAGGGTTAATTAAATCTTGCACAATAACAGGTTCAATAACTCTACAACTCGTGAATGGATCACCGATGTATCCAACGATACAGACACAATTTGGAGTGTGACTAACAACTCTACATTCGGCATTTTGCCCGCAAGTTCCAGGACAGGGATCTTTACATTTACGATTTATACAAGCCAAATGGCTTGAGCATTCGCTGTTACTAACACATTCAGGTCTACAATTTGGTGGTGTACCTATAAATTCTGGCAAACATGAGCAAGAGGGTGAATCACGAACATCTCTACATTGAGAGTTTGGACCACAAGGTGATGGATTGCAGGGATCAATTGGAGATATGACAGCGTCTTCAATTGCTAAAAAATAATAATAAATAGAAAATATTTTCAAGAAGAAATAAACGTCTTACGCCTTGGAGTGCATCTAGTAAATGGATCACCGATATAGCCATTTAAACAACTACAAATAGGATTGTGGTTTATTACTTGACAGTTAGCATTTATGCCACAAGTGCCTGGACAAGGGTCAACACATTTTTGATTTACACAAGCCTGTGTCAAAGGACATTCTGAACTAGTAACGCACTCAGGTCTGCAAGTTGGTGGACTACCGATGAAGCCAGGTACACAGGAGCATACAGCTTGTCCATTAATTTCCCTACATTGCGAGTTTGGCCCGCATGGTGATGGGTTACATGGATCTGCCTTAGGCGGGGCTAAAATTTAACAAAGTTGTCATTGTTGAATTGATTTAATGACAAATTACTCACTTTCAATAATTCTGCAGGATACAAAAGCGTTTCCGGTGAATCCAGTAGGGCAACTACACATTGGTATATGGTTGATAACTTGGCATATACCAGTTGGAGCGCAAGTACCAGGGCAAGGATCAACACATTTATTTCTAATGCAAGCCCTATTTCTTGGACAATCGTTGTTATAAATACATTCAGGTCTACATCCTCTATAAGGATCGCCTTGATATTCAGGCAAACACGCACATATACCATTATTGCATTGTGCATTTGGCCCACAAGGACTTGGATTGCATGGATCATTTACTTGTACAGGCTCAATTTCTTGTGGTTTGGGATAACAATTCGTAAATGGATCACCAATGTAACCATCCGGGCAAGTACATATCGAATTATGATTTAGAACATTACAAATAGCGTTAGATCCGCAGGATCCCGGGCAAGGATCTCTGCATTTTTCGCGGATACATGCCAAATTACTTGAGCATTCTGGGTTTATCGAACATTCTGGCCTACAATTTGGCGGGCTTCCTATATAATTAGCTAAACAAGAACATGATGGAGAACCACCGATGTCTCTGCATTGGCTATTTGGACCACACGGAGATGGTACGCAAGGGTTTCTTATTGGTTCTTCGACAATTTCTTGGGGTGGTGCTATAAGAATATAAAATTAGATAAAGGAAATGATACATTATAAAAAATCTTACGAGGTATCGGGAAGCATCTTGCAAATGGATCGCCAGTATGACCTGGATTGCAACTGCATATGGGACTGTGATTTATGACTTGGCATTTAGAGTTTAATCCGCATGTTCCAGGGCAAGGATCAACGCATTTTTGATTGATACAAGCCCTATTTGGTGAACATTCAGAACTAACAACACATTCAGGTCTACAACTTGGTGGACTACCAATGTAATTTGGTAAACAAGAACATACAGCTTGTCCGTTAATTTCTCTGCATTGTGAATTAGGACCACATGGTGAGGGCTGGCAAGGGTTTACAGGTGTTACATCACGAACAGCTAAGTAGGTACAAAAAAATTAAGGATTCTGAAATTAATTAAGGAATTAATAATCTTACGTTCTGGCGGAGGAATGCTACAGTATCTAAATGGATCTCCTGTATAACCAGGAATGCAAGTGCAAGACGGTGAGTGATTTATAACCTGGCAATCAGCATTTTGTCCACAAGTACCAGGGCAAGGATCTTTGCATTTATTGTTGATGCAGGCTTTATTCGAAGGACAATCAGAATTAAACATACATTCGGGCCTGCATCCTTCGTAGGGGTTTCCAATGTATTCTGGCAAGCATACACAGGCTCCGGCGCTATTTCTTTCTTTACAAATTGCATTTGCACCGCATGGAGAGGGTACACAAGGGTTTCTTATTTCTGGCTCAGGCAATCTCGCTATAAGATATCGTTCACATTACAACGTGGTTTGTATGTATTAACCACACCGATTATTGTTTTAATGTTTACCACCATATACGTTTGCGATTTATTAGCTGTTTTGTTTGCGTGTGAATGGGTTGTAAGAAGCTTTGTATTATTTTTGGGGATCACCATTTATTCTGTTTGTTTATAAAGCGCAAGGGTTAGGGGGAGAGGGTGTTTGTGTTTTCCACATGTTTTCATTGGACCGATACCGTTTTGTTTTATATTTGGGCAAAGCTTTAGTTTGTTTTTGGGCTGTTTGTTTAATTGCGTGGGGGTAGGGTAATCTTAATTGCAGGGTGAGGGGCAACGTGGGGGGATTTGGCATTAGCGTGAGGGGGTCATTGTTGAGTTGAAGCGCTCGTTATCGTTGGGGGATATTCCTTACCTTTTTATCCCCAGAAGCGAAAAAGCATTAGTATGTACAGCGATTACCATGCACTAGTAAGAACATGCAAGAATAAAGATATATCTTAAAAACAAAATTATCTGTTTATAAAGATTAAAACAATATAGCTATATTTTGACTTTAAAAATATATTGGTTTTAAGATATATCTTTATATCTATATCATCATGCGTATATCTAAAACAATACCATTCTACATTTATATTGAGTAAATAAAATATCCTAACCAAATCAATAAAAATGGAATGTGTCATATCTTAAACTTTTAAATTTAACTGAGTATTTTAACAAAGTTTAATAAAAAATAAAATATTCAAAAAAATAAAGCAGTAGATTAAATATTAAATTAGGAATTTATAATGATGTTAATGTAACTTAATAAATTAAATTTGAAGCTTAATAGTAAAACTTTAATAAAAGCCCAATTACATACAGTAGAATCACCCTCTTGTTATCACTTTTATTTTAAACTTATTTACTTTTAACTAATTATGCAACGATTTCAACTAAAGTCAAACTCAACTTACTTACGTCATTTGGGAGATTCAACTGTATATTTTGTGCCAAACAAAATTGTACAAAAATGGTATTGCAATAATAAAAAAATCCTACCTGGTATTGGAATGCAGCCTCTGAACGGATCACCAGTCATTCCCGGAAGACACGTGCAAACAGGATTGTGATTCACGACGTTGCACAACGCGTTTGAACCGCAACTACCCGGACACGGATCGCGACACTTTTGATTTATACACGCGCGTGTCGTTTGACACTCGGGATTTATCGTACACTCGGGCCTGCAGTTTGGCGCTTGACCGACGTAATTTTCGAGACACGAACACGCAGGACTTTCGCCGCGAACTTGGCACACCGAGTTCGGACCGCACGGGCTCGGTTGGCATGGATTAACCGGACGAGGTTCTTCTGAAAAAGGAAAGTAAACGTTATAAACATTATTTTTAGGTTTAAATTAAGATTTAGCATACCTTTGGGTACTGGATAGCATCTCGTAAACGGATCGCCTGTGTTTCCTTGGGTACAGCTGCAAATTGGATTGTGATTCAAAACTTGGCAATGCGCGTTAATGCCGCACGTTCCTGGACATGGGTCCCTGCATTTGTTGTTTAGGCAGGCTTGTGTCAAAGGACATTCGGCACTGACTACACACTCTGGTCTGCAGTTTGGTGGACTTCCTATGTTTCCTGTTTGGCACGAACATACTGCTACGCCATTGTTGATTCTACATTGCGAGTTTGGACCGCATGGCGATGGCTGGCATGGATTAATAGGTGTTTCTGAAAGAACATATATTAATTTAAAGATAACTTCAAGGGATTAATAGAATGAAAGATTGTTATGAAATGAGCTTTACCTATTCTAACAGTTCTGCAGCTTGTGAAAGGATCACCTTCGGTGCCTTTAGGACAACTGCATGTGGGAATATGGTTGACAACATCGCATATGGCACCTTGACCACAAGTTCCAGGGCAAGGGTCAATACAACGCAAATTGTTGCATGATTTATTGGGTGAGCAATCTGTATTCATTGTGCATTCGGGTCTGCACCCAACGAATGGGTCTCCGTGATACAATGGCAGACATGAGCAAAGTCCGTTATCGCAGCGGGCATTTTGCCCGCAAGGTGATGGATTACAAGGGTCTTTAGGTAAGTCAGCGTCACGTGGTGGCGGTGATGGTATAGGATTGCAGGACGTAAACGAGTTTCCTGTGAAACCAGTTATGCATGTACAGATAGGAATGTGGTTTTGTACTCTGCATTCAGCGTTAAAACCGCAAGATCCTGGGCATGGGTCTCTACATTTTTCGCTAATACAAGCTTGTATGGATGGACAGTCTGTATTGACAACACATTCGGGTCTGCAGTTTGGCGCCTGTCCTATGTAATTTGGTAGGCAAGAGCAAGATGGCTGATCGCCAACAGCTCTGCATTGAGCATTTGATCCACAAGGTGATGGGTTACATGGATCAATGTTTGGTCTTGGTTGTGGAGCCGGTGGGGGTGGTAAAGTGTAACATCTAGTGAAAGGATCTCCGGTTAAACCTTCAGGACAACTACAAATCGGATTGTGATTAATAACTTCGCATCTGGCTCCTACTCCGCAAGTTCCGGAGCAAGGATTGGCACATTTGAATTTATGGCAGGCACGGTTAGAGGGACATTCGGAACTAACAACACATTCTGGCTTGCAACTTGGCGGTGAACCTTGGTATTCTGGCAAACATGAGCAAACAGCTTGACCGTTAACTTCGCGACATTGCGAGTTTGGACCGCATGGCGAGGGCTGGCAAGGGTCTTGGACAACAGTGGGCTCGGCTATAAAGAGGAAAAGTTATTAGGCAAAATACTTACTACTATAAATAGGGGGTTCGGTAAAAGGTACGTACTTGTTGGTGGTATTATTTGGCAACTGGTAAATGGGTTTCCTGTAAATCCCTGTATGCAATTACATGTTGGTACGTGGTTAATAACTGAACATTCAGCGTTTGAACCACACACACCAGGGCATGGATCTGCACATTTGTTTCTTATACATGCTTTATTCGTTGGGCAATCTGCGCTAAGTACGCATTCAGGTCTGCATCCTTCATAGGGATTTCCAAAGTAGTCTTGTATGCAAGAGCAAGCACCTGCTCCGTTGCGTTGTTTGCATTCGGCGTTAGCACCACACGGGGATGGTTCACAAGGATTCATGACTTCCTTTCGTTGAGGAACGCATTGTACAAAAGCGTTTCCAGTAAATCCTGGAGCACATGTGCATGAGACGGTATGAGAAATGACTCTGCATTCAGCGTTATCTCCGCAGCTTCCAGGGCACGGGTCTCTGCATTTGTTGTTTATGCAGGCTTGTTCGCTTGGACAATCTGGATTTATCACGCACTCTGGTCTGCAGCTTGGTGGAGTACCGATGTAACCTTGTATACAACTACAAGATGGCGTATCACCGACTCTTCTACATTGCGAATTTGGTCCACATGGAGATGGCTGGCATGGATCCTCTATTGGTCTTGGTGTACTTGGTTCTGGTGGAATAGGGCTGCAACTTTGGAATGGATCTCCAGTAAGTCCTTCAGAACAGCTACAAATTGGGCTATGATTTCTAACTTCACATCTAGCTCTTAAGCCGCAAGAACCAAGACATGGATCACTGCATTTCTGGTTTACGCAAGCTCTGTTTTGTGGACATTCAGCGCTGACTATGCATTCCGGTTTGCAAGAAGGTGGCGAACCCTGGAACCCTTGTAAGCAAGAACATACGGCGTGACCGTTAACATCTTTGCATTGGCTATTTGGCCCACAAGGAGTGGGGTTACAAGGGTCTCTGTTTTCTGGTATTCTAGGTTCTTCCATTCTACACAGAGTGAATGGGTCACCGGTATAATCATTCGGACATGAGCATGTTGGAATGTGATTGATAACATCGCAACGTGCGTTTTGTCCGCAAGTTCCTGGGCATGGATCCACACATTTGTTTCTGATGCAAGCCTTATCTCTGCTACATTCTGTGCTTAAAACGCATTCCGGTCTGCACGATTCATACGGATTTCCTAGATATTCAGGCAAGCAAGTACAAATACCGTCCCTACATTGAGCATTGGGTCCACAAGGCGAAGGGTTGCATGGGTCTCTTGGTTGCGGTGGCTCTGTGACCGGTGGTTTTAGGGTACACTGAGTGAACGGATCACCGACATAACCTTCAAGACAAGTGCAAATTGGCAAATGATTAACTACATGGCAATTGGCATTCGTTCCGCATGAGCCTGGACAGGGGTCTTTACATTTTTGCATTATGCAAGCTTGCTGACTAGCACATTCTGAGCTTAGTACGCACTCAGGTCTGCAACTGGGCGGGGCACCAATATAGTTTGGCAGACAAGAGCAAGATGGCACGTTTCCAACAATTTGGCATTGCGAGTTTGGTCCGCAAGGGGACGGATAGCAAGAGGGTGGTCTTTCGGTTTGAGTGGGCTCTTCCACAGCTATAAATGACGTGTTTATAAGTATATGCATATGCATTTATATGATTTAGATTAAAACAATATATCAATACTTACTTGGTTGTGGTGAGCATCTCGTAAACGGATCTCCTGTGAATCCTGGAGGACATGCGCAGATTGGATTGTGGTTTTTAGTTGTACATTGTGCTCCTAATCCACAAGTGTTCGGGCATGGATCAGCGCATTTCTGGTTAATACACGCACGATCAAGTGGACATTCAGAGCTAACAACACATTCTGGTCTACATGCTGGAGGGGAACCGATGAAGTTCGGTGAGCAAGAGCACACTCCTTGTCCGTTAACGTTCCTACATTGACTATTTGGACCGCATGGCGATGGATTGCAAGGATCCTCAGACCTTGGTGGCGCTATTATTGGAATTTCTTTGCATTGGAAGAACGGATCTCCAGTAAAACCTGGTAGACATGTGCATGTTGGCACGTGATTGTTAACGTGACATTCTGCAAGCTGCCCGCAAGTTCCCGGACATGGATCCACGCATTTGTACGCTACACAAGCTAGAGTTTGTGTACAGTCTGAGTTTATCTCGCACTCTCTGTGACAACCTTTATTGCTGTCATAAGGATCTCCCAAGTAGCCCGGAGGACAGATGCAAGCACCTGCACCGTTCTTTTCTCTGCATTCTGCGTTTGGACCACATGGTGACGGGAAGCATGGAGATGTTGGTGTTCTCTCGGTAGCTATAAAATATTAATTCATATTAGAATTAATTTAAATTAACCAAAATTTGGAAATGTATGAAAACATATAAAGATAATAGATAATATCTTACATGGTGGTGGTGGCAAAGAGCAAGAAGTAGATGGATTACCAGTATAGCCAGGGAAACAAGAACATACAGGTCTATGATTTACAACAGTACATTGAGCATTGAGTCCACAAGAGCCAGGACAAGGGTCTCTACATTTCTCGTTTTTACATGCTAAATGATTGGGACATTCGGAGTCGTTTGTACATTCGGGTCGGCAATTAGGCGCGCGACCCACAAAGTTTGGAAGGCAAGAACATGCAGCTTGTGTTCCAATTACTCTACATTGAGAATTGGGTCCACAAGGTGAAGGTACACAGGGATTTCCTGTATCTTTAGGAGGTGGTGGTACTAAAATAAAGACAGATAGAGAATAGGTAAAGAGTAAAGATTAGAGAACATACATTCGATTTTCGTGCAACGTATAAACGGATCGCCTGTAAAACCATTCTGACAAGTACAAATTGGATTGTGACTGACAACTTTGCATTGTGCAGATATTCCGCATGTTCCCGGGCAAGGGTCGGCACATTTTTGGTTAACACATGCTTTGTCTTGTGGGCATTCTGAGCTTACAACACATTCAGGCCTACACATTGGCGGCGAACCTACATAGCCCACATCGCATGAGCATACAGCGTGGCTATTAATCTCGCGACATTGACTGTATGGTCCGCATGGTGAAGGCGCGCAAGGGTTCAATGGTGTTTTAGGTTCTTCTACAACTGTTAAACGCGAATAAGTAAAAATATTATTATATTATTTTAGTTTTCTTTAAAAATAAAGCATGCAATTTAAAGAACACCCAAAATAATTTAATTTTCGTATATTGATATCTTACTGGCTTGAATAACATGACATATCTTAGTTGGATCACCGGTATATCCACTTATACATAAACAAGATGGTGCGTGATTCACCACTCTGCATTCTGCATTTAATCCGCAAGTTCCTGGACATGGGTCAATACATTTATTATTTGAGCAAGCTCTGCTTCTATCACAGTCAGAATTTGTGACACATTCCGGTCGGCAACCCATGTATGGATCTCCGAAATACTCTGGCAAGCAAGAACAAGATCCTGCGCCATTTCTTTCTTTGCATATGGCATTAGCACCGCATGGCGACGGGTTACAAGGGTTACGCGGTTCTTCAGTAACAGGAGCTAAAAGAGATAGTACATAGTGTTACATGCAAAGAAAATACAAAATCGTAAATAAATAAAATAAGGATTTTAGCTTACTAGGAGGAATTATGGAGCAACCAGTAAACGGATCTCCAGTGTAACCACCTAAACATTGACAGTTTGGAGCATGCTTTACAACTATACAAGTAGTGAAGGACCCACAGGATCCTGGACAAGGGTCTTTACATTTTTCGTTTTGACATGCAAGATTCCCGGGACATTCTGCGTTTATTGTACATTCTGGTCTACAGTTTGGCGCACGGCCTATGTAATTTGGCAAACATGAGCATGCTGCTTGGGTACCTACAACTCTGCACTGAGAGTTTGGCCCGCAAGGTGAAGGAACGCAAGGATTTCCACTTGGTTCTATTGTTTTTTCTAAAATATAAGAACATGCATAGTACAGATAGAGTAGAGCACCAAAGGGTAATGAATCTATTTGTTTTATTTAACTTTATATTTTAAAACAATTAGATACATAAGGAAAATAGGAAATAGTCTTACTTTCTTCAACGATACATCTAACGAAAGGATCGCCTACATAATTCGGTGGACAACTACAAATAGGATTGTGGTTTATAACATTGCATCTAGCGTTTATTCCACATGTTCCCGGGCAAGGGTCTTGGCATTTATTGTTTATGCATGCTTTATTTTGGGCACATTCAGAGCTAACAGTACATTCAGGTCTACATGCTGGCGGAGTGCCGATATAATTAGATTGACAAGAACATACTGCATGGTCATTTACGACTCTACATTGACTGTACGGTCCGCAGGGTGAAGGTTGACATGGGTTTCGTTTAGGTTCTTCTTCTAAAGAAAAATTAAGGAAATAAGATAAAGAATTAAAGTTAATAGAGTTAGAATTACCAGGTGGTGGCGGTAGTCTACAAGATGATAAAGGATTGCCGATGTATCCAGGTAGACAGTTACAAGAAGGCGCGTGATTTAAAACTGTACATTCGGCGTTTACCCCGCATGTTCCAGGGCAAGGATCTTTACATTTGTTATTTACACACGCCTTGTCTCTTGGGCAGTCTGAGTTTGTTACGCACTCAGGTCTGCAACCGGTATAAGGATCGCCTTGATATTCAGGCAAACATGTGCAAGAACCGGCGCCATTTTGCTCTTTACATACAGAGTTAGCACCGCAAGGAGATGGGTTGCAAGGATTTAAATCTTCTTCTACAGGTTGTACAACTAAAAATTTATTTTTGTGAGCAATTATAACGCGAGTCGGGTTAGAAATCTTACTTGGTATCAAGTTACAGCCAGCAAATGGATCCCCAGTAAAGCCTACTACGCAAGAACATACCGATCTATGGTTAATAACCAAACAATCGGCGTTTCTTCCGCACGAGCCTGGGCAAGGATCTACACATCTTTCGTTTACACATGCCAAATTACTTGGACATTCTGAGTTGATTCTACATTCCGGTCTACAATTTGGTGCTCGACCAACATAATTTTGTAGGCAGGAACATGCCGGCGTATTACCGACTACCCTACATTGTGAATTTGGACCACACGGTGATGGATCACAAGGATTTATCGGAGCTACAGGCTCAGGCCGTTCTAAAGAAATATTCAGTAAATATATTGGTGTTAAATTGTTAGTTAAAAACTTACTTTCTTCGACTAAACATCTTATAAATGGATCGCCGGAATATCCAGGCGAACAACTACAAATTGGGTTGTGGTTAACAACTTGACATCTCGCATTTATACCGCATGTTCCCGGGCATGGATCTTGACATTTTTGGCTAATACAAGCTTTGTCTAAAGGACAATCTGCGCTTATAATACATTCTGGCCTACACATTGGTGGCGATCCTATGTAATTAACTTGACAAGAACACACTGCGTGATCGTTAATAACTCGGCAGTTGCTGTAGGGACCGCATGGTGATGGATTACATGGTTCAATCCTGGGCTTTTCTACCACTGGCGGAGGTAAATGGCACGCTACAGTGGGGTTACCTGTGTAACCTTGCAAACAGAAACACTGTGGAGCGTGGTTAGGTACTGTGCACTCTGCGTTTATACCGCATGCTCCTGGACAAGGATCTTTACATTTTTGGTTTACGCAAGCTTTATCGCGCGCGCAATCTGTGTTTGTTACGCACTCCGGTCTACAACTGGTGTATGGGTCTCCGAAATATTCCGGCAAACATGTGCAGGAGCCGGCTCCGTTTTGTTCTTTACAGACAGCGTTTGCACCACACGGAGATGGATTGCATGGCATGCGTCTTTCTTCAACGGGCGCGATTGGTATTGCTGAACATCCAGAGAACGGATCTCCGGTAAAACCGCCTAAACATTGACAGTTAGGTGAGTGTTTAACGACGATACAATTTGTGTTAGCACCGCAAGAGCCGGGGCATGGATCTTTACACATTTCGTTTATGCAAGCTAAATTTCCGGGACATTCCGCGTTTATGGTACATTCGGGTCTACAATTAGGCGAACGACCGATATAATTGGGCAAGCAAGAGCATGCGGCTTGAGTACCGACCACTCTACACTGTGAGTTTGGCCCGCAAGGCGAAGGAACACAGGGATTACCACTTGGTCGTGGTTCCGGGCGTTCTAGAAAAAGGAAAGAAATAAAGTAAAAGTTAAAGAGAATTGGACGTCTTCTTACTTTCTTCTTGGATACAACGTATGAAAGGATCACCAACCAATCCCGCTGGACAACTGCATATAGGGTTGTGATTAATAACGTTACATCTAGCGTGTATACCGCATGTTCCAGGGCATGGATCTTTGCATTTTTGGTTGATGCAAGCTTTGTCTTGTGCACAATCTGTGCTTACAGTACATTCAGGTCTGCAAGTTGGAGGAGCTCCTATGTAATTAGGTTGACAAGAGCATACAGCGTGTCCATTTATCTGTCTACATACACTGTAAGGGCCACATGGTGAAGGTAGGCATGGGTCTACCGGTTCTTCAATAATAGCTAGAGAAAATAGGTGGAAAGAGAAAGATAGTTAAAGTACAGTTTATAAAGAAAGAAAGCAGAAATCTTACTAGGTTCTGGTATCTGTATTGGATGACAGGATCTAAGAGCATCTCCAGTAAATCCAGGCAAACATAAACATGTAGGTATATGGTTATTTACACGGCAATCAGCGTTTAATCCGCAGGTTCCAGGGCAAGGGTCTTTACATTTATTGTTAACACAAGCCCTGTTTCTGGGACATTCAGAATTCATGACACATTCAGGCCTGCAACCTGAATACGGGTCTCCAAAATAGTCTGGCAAGCAAGTACAAGACCCTGCACCGTTTTGTTCTCTGCAAATTGCGTTTGCGCCACATGGCGACGGATTGCAAGGTTCGGCAGGTTTTTCAATAGGTATGACTGAAATTGAAATATAATGATATTGGTTTGGTTTTTAGGGTGTTAACGTTAGGGGGGTTAGTAAGTTTTTGCTTACATTTCTGACAACCTGAAAATGGATCTCCTGTGTAACCCGATAAACAATAGCAAACAGGGGCATGGTTGATGGTTTTACATTCGGCGTTATAGCCACACGAACCAGGGCAAGGGTCTTTACACCTTTGATTTATACAGGCTTTAGTAAGGGCACACTCAGAGTTTACAACACACTCTGGCCTACAATTTGGAGGGGCTCCGAAATAACTTGCCAAACATGTGCACACTGCACGATCATTTATGTTTCTACATTCAGCGAATGTTCCGCATGGCGATGGTATGCAAGGGTTTCTAACTTCAACATTAACCGGTGGTTCTAGAAATTAAAAGCAACATGCAAAAAGCTACAAAAGCACTGGTATATACAAGCTTACTCTCTTCCAAAATGCATCTGCTGAAAGGATCACCCACATAACCTGAAGGACAGCTACAAATAGGGCTGTGAATAACCACTTTACAACGAGCGTTGTAGCCACAAGTTCCAGGGCAAGGGTCTACACATTTCTGGTTTACACATGCTTTATCTAATTGACATTCCGAATTAACCAAACATTCGGGTTTACAATTTGGGGGTGCGCCAAAATAGCCTGGGCTGCAAGAGCACACAGGCCTTTCGTTTAATATTCTACATATGCTATAAGGTCCACACGGGGAGGGTATGCAAGGATTACGTCTTGGTTCTTCGATTATAGCTAAATAATTTAAATTATTAGAACAAGTTAAATGTATACACGGTTTAATACTCTTACTGGGCTGTGGTTCTCTGCAAAGCGTCAACGCGTTTCCAGTGTACCCAGGCGCGCAATAACAATGAGGGTTGTGATTCAAAACGCGGCATTCGGCATTTATGCCACAGCTACCAGGACATGGATCTCTACATTTCATTCCCAAACAGGCTTTGTCTGAGGGACAATCGTTATTGGTTACGCACTCCGGCCTACAACCGGTGTAAGGGTCGCCAAAGTGGCCTTTTACGCACGTACACGATCCAGCACCATTACGCACGTTACATACGGCGTTAGAGCCGCACGGGCTCGGATTACAAGGATCCGTCGGAATATCTATTACTAAAGAAAAACATGCTTGAAACATATAAACATGCATAATAAAGTATGTACAATATGAAAATATAGAAATGAAGAGTATGTGGGAAAAATATATAAAATCTTACCTTTTATCTCGTTGCAACCTGAGAACGGATCGCCTTCGAAACCAGATAAACAGCTGCAAACTGGTCTGTGGTTTACTGCAGTACATTGAGCGTTGAATCCGCAAGAGCCTCGGCAAGGATCTTTGCATCTGTTATTGGTGCAGGCCAAGTTTAGAGGACAATCCTGGTCGATGACACATTCAGGACGGCAGTTTGGTGGAGCTCCAAACATACCTGGTAAACAGGAACAAACTGAACGATCCCCAACAGCTCTGCATTCAGCGTTGGATCCACATGGCGATGGTATGCATGGTGTAACAGGTTCTGGTTCTGGTTTAACTTAAAGAAAAAAGTTTTTATTATTTGTACGGTTTCTAGAAATATTATAAAATTCTTACTTGGTACGGTGCATTGAATAAACGGATCGCCGACATGATCTGGTGGACAACTGCAAATAGGGTTGTGGTTGTTGACTTGACACCTCGCGTTTATACCGCAAGTTCCCGGGCATGGATCTTGACATTTCTGGTTTATGCAAGCCTTGTTTAAGCTACATTCCGAGCTTACAACACACTCAGGTCTGCATGATGGTGGCTGACCAAAGTATCCCACTTGGCAAGAGCATACAGCTTGATCATTACGCACACGACAAACGCTGTTTGGTCCACAAGGAGATGGTTCGCAAGGGTTGACAGGTATCATTGCTGAAATTAATAAAATTGATAAATATCTATTTATATTAATTCTACCATAATATAGCTTACGTGGTGCTTCTCTGCATGCCGTAAATGGATCTCCAATAAGTCCTCTAGCACAAGTACAAACTGGTACATGATTCACAACGGTGCATTCGGCATGTATTCCGCAAAGACCCTGGCAAGGGTCCCTGCAATGTTGGGACAAACACGCCAAATGGCTTGGACAATCTGAGTTCATAGAACATTCAGGTCTGCAGCCTCCAGCATAGGGATTGCCGATGTATGGTGGTATACAAGTACACCTGGCAGCACCGCTGTTAATGGTACACTGGGCATTAGGTCCGCATGGTGATGGATTGCATGGGTCTTTTGGTGTTTCAACAACAACAATCTTAGAGCATCCGATAAAGGCATCACCTTCAAATCCATTTAAGCAGCTGCAGTATGGTGTATGATTTACAACATCACATTTAGCGTTGGATCCGCAAGTTCCAATACAAGGATCAACGCATTTTTCCTTGATACAAGCCCTATTCTTTGGACACTCTTGGTTAATAACACATTCAGGTCTGCAGTATGGTGGTGTACCAATGTAGTTAGCCACACAAGAACATACAGGTCTATTCTCTCTAACTTGGCATATCGAGTTTGGTCCGCAAGGCGAAGGCGAGCATGGATTTACAGGTACGATAGGTACGTCAGGTATCCTTGATTGTTCCGGAACGAAACATTTTACAAATGGATCACCTTGATGTCCTGGTAAACAACTGCATATTGGGTTGTGATTAATGGTTGTGCATATGGCGTCTATTCCGCATGTGCCAGGGCATGGGTCAATACACTTTTGATTCACGCAGGCTTGCGTCTGTGGACATTCAGAGCTTACCACACATTCTGGTTTGCAAGCTGGCGGTGCTCCGTGGTAGTTTGGTAAGCACGAACAAGTGGCGTATCCGCTGTGAGAGACTAAACATCTGCTAAACGGTCCGCATGGTGATGGATCGCATGGATTAACATTAGGAATGCTTGGAAGTGGTTGTATAACAAGTTTGTAACACGAAACAAATGGATCTCCTGTGTGTTGTGGCGGGCAGTTGCAAACTGGTATGTGGTTTATTACATCGCATTGAGCTCCTACACCGCATACGCCTGAGCATGGATCTACACATTTGTTGTTAATACAAGCCTGGTTTAATGGACAGTCTGGATTTATAACGCATTCAGGTCTGCAAGCTATCCATGGATTTCCGAAGAAACCCTTTCTGCATACGCAAGCCAAAGCGTGGTTTTGTTGGCGACAGTCTGCATTTGCTCCACATTGGACGTTCTCGCATGTATCAGTCTTTTCTTCAGGTTCTAAAGAAAAATATTAATAAGCAAAACATTAATATTAAGGTAAAATAAGTACTTACTGTCTGGGATAGCACAATGTTCAAACGGATTTCCAACTAAACCTTGTGGACAACTACATACTGGCGTGTGTGAAACTACCATACATTCAGCTGCGACACCGCAAGAACCTGGGCAAGGATCGGCGCACTTAGAACCAAGACAAGCCTTATTAAATGGACAATCAGCGTTAGTTAAACATTCTGGTCTGCATTGTGGATTGTATGGAGCATCCGGTCCTAAGCAAGGATCGCAAATGGCTACACCGGGACCGTATACATTACACTCCATGTTTCCGCATGGCGAAGGAGCGCATGGTTGTGTGGTGTTTGGATATGATGGAATATTGATCGGTGTGCGTAAACATTGGAAGAACGGATCTCCCATGAATCCATCTGGACAAACGCATGTGGCAGTATGGTCTCGTACTTGACAGATTGCGTGCAAACCGCACAAGTTTTCGATTGTACAAGGATCTCTGCAATGTCTATCGATACAAGCTTTATTTATTGGACAATCCGAGTTTAATACGCATTCAGGATGACATCCTATTTGCGGATCGCCCTCGAACTCTGGTAAGCAAGAGCATACAGCCCTATCGTGCATTACTTGACAAATCGTGTTTAGTCCGCATGGATTAGGCATGCAAGGGTCATGAGGTGGTAGGTATGTCGGTACTTGATGACATCTTATGACCGGATTACCGGTTAAACTTGCAGGGCACGTACAAACTGGATGATGTTTTTCCACTCTACATTCAGCGTTTACTCCGCACGAACCTGGGCACGGATCTCTACATCTATAACCTATACAAGCATCGTGATCAGCGCAGTTATCGTCAGTCACACATTCATATCCATGACAACCGGCTGGTCCAGTCGGATCGCCTCCCATACCATCAGGACATCTACACATGGAGTTTCCGTCCGGTGTAACTACGCATTGAGCACCAGGCCCGCAAGGGCTGGGCACGCATGGACTGGCTGGTTCCACTCTACATCCTGAGTAAGGATTACCGATAAATCCGGGTCTGCAATAACATTGCTCTTGGTTTGCGGATACGTAACAGTCCGCGTTTATTCCGCAAGGCCCTGGACTACATAGCGGAGTAACCGCCGGCTCAGCGCAGCTTCTAAATGGATTACCGATGGTTCCAGTTGGACAATAGCAAACAGGTTGACGTAAAGGATCGCATATAGCCCCGTGACCACACGGATTTGGATCGCATGGTTTTTTAGCTTCGACACAGCCTCTGATGGTGTTAGGGCTTTCGATAAAGCCTGATAAGCAAGTACATTTAGCATAACCGTTGCTTAATATGGCACATTGAGTATTTGGACCGCATGGCGATGGATTGCATGGGTTTACAGGTAAGTCGCATGGTACTTGCGGTGGTTTTCCTTCAAATTCTGGAAGACAGAAGCATATAGCTCTGCCTCCTACCACTCTGCAACCGGAATTCGGCCCGCAAGGGTTTGGAGCACATTCATCTCCCTCAGGAACTAAAAAGACAGTATTAACCATTATAAAATATACTTTGTATATAAATACTTACTGCAATTCTTGAAAGGATTTCCCGTCAAGCCTTTAGGGCAGTAACAAATGGGATGTCCATTATCCAACTCACACAAGGCATTTGTTCCACATGGATTTGGATCGCAGGGATTACTGGGCGGTTCACATCCAATTTCCGGTTGTCCTTGATATCCCGGAGGACACTTACAAGTAGGTCTATGGTAAATAACCTCGCATATAGCGTTATAACCGCATTGGCATGGTGAAGCGCATTGTCCGTTGACGCAAGCTTCGCTGGATGGACATTCGTTGTCATCTCTGCAACCCAAAACACCTTCGCAGGATGTGTAAGGATTGCCTTCGTATCCTGGCAAGCATCTACAATCTATTCCATGATTTTTTGGTATACATTCCGCGTTATCACCACATGAATCTTCAAAGCATGGGTTGATACAGATTCTGTTAAGTCTATCACAAAGTTTATTTGGAGGACAATCTTCGTTGTATTGGCAGATTGGTTTGTAGTCAATTACTAAAATTTTAAGGATGTTAGATAATTGCTATAATGGATTATTAATTTGTTTTTACCTGGTACACAACCAGTGTAGGCATTTCCTTGGAATCCTTCTTCACAGCTACAATCGCTACCATGGTTTGTATTTATACACACGGCATGTTGTGTACAAGGATTTCTAACGTCACAAGGTCTTTGACATGCTCTATCTATACAAGCTTCCGTAATGGGACAGTCGTCGTTTGTTGTGCACATCACTAATAAAAGAGGTGCAAAAGAAACATAGTAAGAAGAGGAAATGAAACTAATCTAGTTTATATACAAAAACCAAACACGAATTTGTACAAATATTTATAAATTTACAATGTTATTGATTATTTATTTATTATTGATTATTTATTTATTGCTGATTATTTATTTATTATTGATTATTTAATTTATTGATTTATGTAATATAAGTTCCACCCTGAAGAATCTTTTAGTGATTTTTCAAGTTGGTAAATCTACAGCACAACGATAAAACCTTACAGGCTACAGCTTTTTAAGATCAGCTCAAACTATTTACAATATCAGTGCTTAGCAAGGTTTTTCCGTTGCATGGCAGAACTGTTATAATGTTAATCTTACTTGTCGGAGTTTTGGAGCATTTAACTGCTGGATTTCCTTCATAACCCATTGGGCATGTGCAAATGGGCCTGTGCATTTTAACTTGACATTTAGAAGAGTTTGCACAGGCGTTAGTAAATTCACAAGGATCCTGACATAACGACAAATAACAAGCCTCGCTTTCGAGACAGTCCATGTCAGACTTGCACGGTTTTGGTGCTCTTTCGTTAGGCGGTTCTGTTAGAGAGTTAAAATTTATTAGATTTATTAATTATTTTTTTATTGTTTTGTTTTCGTTAAGAGGTCATATGAGTCACCTGGTAAATACAATTTTGTTTTACATCAAGGTGACTCACTTTGTGTATATGCAATTTGACTACGTTAAGCTAATGGGCATGCAATTGTAATATTAATTATTATTAAAGTGCAAAATTAATTAAGTAGCAAAAAAAATATAAACAAAAAAATCTTGACGGGTTGAAAAAATATTTTTAGGGGCGAACAAAAATAGTCCTATACCTGGGAAACATATCCTATGAGGATCTCCGTAGTGATGAGGAGGACACATGCACTCACTCGTGTGGTTTTTAGTTGTGCATATAGCGTTAGACGCGCATAAACCGCCTATAGAACAAACGTTTATACACATTTTATTGATACAAGTTTCTTTATCCAAACAATCGTCGTCGTCACTACAAAGCGTGTTGTTGGTTGTGTTTAATTTTTCTAGAGATACTGGAGGTACATTTTTGGGGATATTAGGCATTTCTGTAGGTATTTCGGTAGTATAAACTGGTCTTTCTGTAGTAATTGTTCCAGTTTCAGTAATTATAGATGTTTGAGAGCTAACTTTTGCTTTTTCAGAAGATGTGATCTCTGTAGGCATTGTAGTTTCGGTGAAATAAGATGAAGTAGCTTCACTTGACATGATAGTAGTTCCACTTTCAGTACCAATAGTTTTTTGAGAAGTAGTTTCAGAAGATGTAAATACAGTTGGTATTGTAGTTTCTATAACGTAAGATGATGTAACTTCACTTGGTGTGAAAGCAGTTTCCATCTTTACAGTACTAGGTATTTCTGTTGACATTTTTTTGCTACCCTCACTAGGTATTACTGTTATAGTTTCAGAACTAGTAAATGATGGCACTGTTGTAAGAAAAGATTTTGTGGTACCCTCGAAAGAACTTATACCTTCAGTTACATAAGACGTAGTACCTCTACTTTTTGTAGTTTTTTGTTCCATTGGTTTTAAAGTAGTAACTTTTTTACGTATTTCTGTAGAAATAGTACTTATCTCTCCAGTTCCAGTTTTTTGTGTTCCTTCTGTAGTAAATTGTTCTGGATAAATTGTAGTTTTTATTCCAGATGGTTTTGTAGTAGTTTGTTCTGATTTAGTACTACCACTTAAGGTAGTAAATTTAGAACTTTCTCCAGGTACAACTGTTGTAATAGACGCGGTAGTACTTTCACCTGCATGACTAGTAGAATATAAAATAGTTGTAGGCATCTCAGAAGAAAATTGTTTTGTAGGTTCATTCTCTGTGGTTATTTTAGTTGTTCCATTTATTGCTCCAATTGTAGTTGTTTCAACTTCCTCATGTGAAGTACTACTTCTAGTTTGTGTAACATATGGTCCTGTCGTCGGTATTTCTGTTAATCCTGCCTTTGTAGTAACTTCTTCCCCTGTAGTTTTAGGGTATGATTCTGTAATAGTCATTCCTTCTACACCAGGTATTCTAGTACCTTCTCTTTCTAAAGTTGTTGTTTCAGTACCTTTAGAGGGTAATTCGGATACTACTTTAGTTGATGTTTCAGGGGCATACTCTTTTGTAACACCTTGTTCTGTAGAACCTTGTATAGTACTAAACGTCATTTTTATAGTAACTTCCTCCCCTGTAGTTTTAGGGTATGATTCTGTAATAGTCATTCCTTCAACACCAGGTATTTTAGTACCTTCCCTTTCTAAAGTTGTTGTTTCAGAACCTTTAGAGGGTAATTCGGATACTACTTTAGTTGATGTTTCAGGGGCATACTCTTTTGTAACACCTTGTTCTGTAGAACCTTGTATAGTACTAAACGCCATTTTTGTAGTAACTTCCTCCCCTGTAGTTTTAGGGTATGATTCTGTAATAGTCATTCCTTCAACACCAGGTATTCTAGTACCTTCCCTTTCTAAAGTTGTTGTTTCAGTACCTTTAGAGGGTAATTCGGATACTACTTTAGTTGATGTTTCAGGGGCATACTCTTTTGTAACACCTTGTTCTGTAGAACCTTGTATAGTACTAAACGTCATTTTTGTAGTAACTTCCTCCCCTGTTGTTTTAGGGTATGATTCTGTAATAGTCATTCCTTCAACACCAGGTATTCTAGTACCTTCCCTTTCTAAAGTTGTTGTTTCAGTACCTTTAGAGGATAATTCGGATACTACTTTAGTTGATGTTTCAGGGGCATACTCTTTTGTAACACCTTGTTCCGTAGAACCTTGTATAGTACTAAACGTCATTTTTGTAGTAACTTCCTCCCCTATGGTTTTAGGGTATGATTCTGTAATAGTCATTCCTTCAACACCAGGTATTCTAGTACCTTCCCTTTCTAAAGTTGTTGTTTCAGTACCTTTAGAGGGTAATTCAGATACTACTTTAGTTGATGTTTCATGGGCATACTCTTTTGTAACACCTTGTTCTGTAGAACCTTGTATAGTACTAAACGTCATTTTTGTAGTATTTTCCTCCCCTGTAGTTTTAGGGTATGATTCTGTAATAGTCATTCCTTCAACACCAGGTATTCTAGTACCTTCTTTTTCTAAAGTTGTTATTTCAGTACCTTTAGAGGGTAATTCAGATACTACTATAGTTGATGTTTCAGGGGCATACTCTTTTGTAACAAACTCTGCAGGTTGAGTACTACTTCTAGTCTGTGTAACGTATGGGGTGGTTGATGGTATTTCTGTTATTGTTGTTGTTTTAGTACGTTCAGAAGGTAGTTCAGTATAGTTGGTAGTTCTTTCAGGTGCATACTCTTTTGTAACGCTTGGTTCTGTAGAACTTTGCGTAGTTCTAGACGTTATTAATGGTGTTATTTCTCCGTAGGTTGTTTTAACCTCTGTAGGTTGAGTACTACTTTCAGGTTTTGTAACATATGTCATTGTGGTCGGTATTTCCGTTAGTCCTGCCTTTATAGTTACTTCCTCTCTTGTAGTCTTAGGGTAAGATACTGTAGTAGCCATGTTTTCCACACCAGGCACTCTAGTTGTTGTACCCTCCCTTTCCAAAGTGGTTTTAGGAGCTAATTCAGTATATATATGTATAGTTGTTATTTCTGGTGCATACTCTTTTGTAGCACTTGGTACTGTAGAACCTTGTGTAGTCTTAGATGTTATTGATGGTACTTCTGTACCTTCACTACTTACGACAGTTTCCGTATATTCCTTTATATATTCTGTTGGTTTTTCACCAGATATTACAGTAGTAGTTTCTTGAACCTTTACACTGAAAGTTTCGTATTCAGAAGTTGTTTTATGAGTTTCAAAAGTAGTTTCTTGTATAGGTACCTTTGAAGTGGTTTGTAGTCCTTCTACGCTAGGCATTGTACCTTCTGTATATTCAGGGTGCTCTGTAGTTTTTGTAGTGGAAGTAATTCTAGTCGTTTTGGGAATCTCACTTACTCCAGCAGTTACTTCAGTTTCCGTTACTTCACTTACCATTGCAGTAACTATTTCTGTAACTAGTTCTGTAGTTTCTTTAGGTACTTCAGATACTATTGCAGTTACTGTTGGTAGTGTTGTAGATTTTGGTACTTCACTTATTTTAGCTGTGACTACAGATTCTGTAGTAATTACGGAAATGGGTTCTTTAATGGTGGTTTTAGGTTTTACTTCAAATACTGTGGTAATATCTAGAGGAGCTTCTGTTAAATGTTCGATAATAGTTACCGGAGTGGTTGATTTAGGTACTTCACTTACCTTAGCAGTAACTAAGGGCTCTGTAACCTCACTTACAATAGCTGTAACTGGTGTTGTAGTTACTTTGGGCATTTCCGAAACTTTAGCAGTTATAACTTCTTCAGTTGTATGAGGAATTTCACTTACATGTGCCGTTACAGGTGCTTCAGTTTCATTGAATGGTACGCTAGTAACAGTGTAATATTTTTCAATTGGTGTAGATTTGGTTAAATAATCACGTACACTTGTTACAGTGTAGTATTTTTCAGTTGTTCCCTCAGTCTTAAGGGTGTAAGGAGTAACAAATGTACTTTTTGCATACTCTGTAGGCGCACTAGGTGTAAATACCGACTCTGTAGTTTTAGGCTCTTTAGAAACTGTAGTTTCAGTAACTTGTGATGTAGTTACTTTTTGACCTTCAGTAGTAAATTCAGAAGTTACTCCTTGTTTGGTTTCGTTTTTGTTAATAATAGATTCAGTGGCAAAGCTCATTTTAGTTGTTGTTTCCGTTGATGAGCTATAGTAAGATGTAACAGTGGAATATTTATCTGTAGGTGCAGATTCTGGGGTTATAATAGTTGTTACTTCTGCAGGAATTGTGGCTTTACTGGTGTATATAGTCTCGGTGTATTCCTTTGTAGTTACCGGTAGTAAAGGTTTTGAAGTAAACAACGTTTCTAAAGGTATATTTTCGGTAGTTGGTTCTTCAGGACCTGATGTGAATGGTGCTAAAGATTCTGGCGTTATAGTTTCTGCATATTTGGTAACTTTACTTTGTGTCGTTGGGTTTTCAGTAAAAACTTCCTCTTTTGTAGTCTCAGGGTATTTTACTGTAGTAATTCTTTCCACACTAGGCACTCTAGTGGTTGTACCTTCCCCTTCTAAAGTGGTTTTATTAATACCTTCGGAAGGTAATTCAGTATATACAGTTGTTGTTTCTGGTTTATACTCTTTTGTAACACTTGGTTCTGTGGAACCTTGCGTAATCCTAAACGTTACTGATGGTACTTCGGTACCTTCTGTATATTCAGTCTGTTCTGTAATAGGCATACCAGGTTTTGTAGATATTTTTGAAGTTCTTGTGGTAAACTCACTAATAATTTGTTCTGTGGGTTTCATCGTTATAACACCTTCAGTCGTCGCTATTTCTGTTAGTCCTGCCTTTGTAGTAACTTCCTCCATTGTAGTTTTAGGGTAAGATACAGTAGTAGTAATTCCTTCTACACCGAATATTCTAGTGGTTGGTTTAGTCCCTTTATAAGGTATTTCAGTATATATTGGTTTTGTGGAACTATGTGTAGTACTGGAAGTTATTGACTGTGTTACTTCTCCATATGTTGTTTCACCCTCTTCCTGTTGAGTACTACTTCTTGTTTGTGTAACGTATGTTACAGTTGTTGGTATTTCTGTTAATCCTGCCTTTGTAGTAAGTTCCTTTCTGGTAGTTTTAGGGTAAGATACTGTTGTACTTATTCCTTCCACACTTGGTTCTATAGAACTTTGTGTAGTTCTAAACGTTACTGATGGAATCTCGGTGCCTTCACTACTTATGGTAGTTTTTGGATATTCTGTTTGTGAATACGTAGTTGTTTCAGTTTCAGTCGCATACTCTGTTATAAAACTTGGTTCGGTTGTACCAACCCCTTCAGTTGTAGTTTCATTAGATATTAAATTAGGAGCAGTAGCAGTTACATTGGTTATTTGTGTTATAGTCACGGTTTGTGGTTCTGTTAGTGTTTCGGGTGTAGTGGTAGCCATATCTAACAAATAATACGTAAGTAAGTAATTTGTACAATTTTACAGTTTATCTGAATGATATGGAGTTAGTTAGTTGTGAAGAAGCCATAAGCGGACCGTCACCAAAAGTTCACCCTTGTGTACAAATATAATGCGATATTTGTACAATACTATACAAAATACTAAGTATAAATATAAGAATGTGAAACCAGTACTGTTCACAAAAGGATAAAGTGTCAGTCGTATTTGACAATAGGCATACGCGACGAAATATAAAAAAGTGTTGCTATTTTCATAATTTACAATGAATGAATATTAAGGAAGAATTTACAGTTAGATGATTTTTAGCTGGAACACAAAATAATTTTTATCACTTTATTTAAAACATGATTCAAACACTTTACCAATCCTCTGATGATGTATAAGCACTTCCATTTTATATGGTGTTCGTTTTTGTTAATTTTCGCAAAAATTTTGTTTGATGGGGATAGGGTTTATGGTATGGGAAATGGTAACAAAAAACAGCAACACGTCTGAGTAATAACTGAAATAATTAATATTTAGGTACTTACCCTTTTGGCAGGCCCCTGTTAGAGGGTCACATGGTACTCCTGGTGGGCAGTGCTGACAACCTGGTACCCTGGCTTCTAAAACATTAAAAGAAATAATTAGTATTATTATTGTTTACCAAACTCAAACGTTGTAAACATACGTATTACACATTGGCATCCATCGCAAGCCAAATTTGCGTTTCCACAGTCTGAGTCTTGCTGGCATTGACATACTGAAAAGCGCAAAATTTTGTTCACATAAAAAATAACAAAATTTTTAAACAGTTATACCTTTAACACAAACTGGGTTGTGATCTTGAACTTGACAGTCTTGTGACACTGTACAAGGGTTCGATACAGCGCATGGATTTTGACATTTTCCGCCAATACAGGCTTGGTCTGTAGTACATTCCGAATGTGAGCGGCAAATTATATCTATACAAAACGAATTAACTCAATAAAATGGTTTAACGCCTAGCATATTTAAAAAAAATAAAGCTTAAAAGCAGAAAATACAAGCTTATACTTGTACTATTGTAATCTACTACATCTACTACCACCAAAAAAGTTACTGCCCACACCGGTACAATAATGTATATACAATATAATACAAAATGATACAATAAAAATATGAAAACAGTCCTCGCTGAGAACTTATCGGTGATCCTTCTTTCTATGTCATGCAATGATCCAAAGGGCCTCGTATTTGACCTTTTTTGAGCCGATTTCTGTTTTGTTTTCTCGGCTCTCGATCATGCGTCCAATATTCATGGATGTCCCTTTGCAGGCGCATAAACCGATTACTTATCATAAATATCTTTACCTGGTAAAATTTCGCAACCAATTTTTTCCTTTATTGTTTCGTTTAGCGGACACAAACAAACTGGCACGTGGGCAATGACGTCGCATCTAACGTTTGGTACACAAGGATTGTAAAAGTCACAAGGATTTAAGCAGGTTTTGTTTATGCAGGCTTTTTCTGCAGGGCAATTTAAGGATTTGAGGCAATAATATTCGGATTCGTATGTTGGGTATATTGTTACTTGAGGTTGTGTAATGTTAGGTATTTTGGTTTCGGTTAAAGGATACAGCGTTGTTATTCTTTCTCCGGAAACAGTTGTTATTTGGGTTGTGAATTCCAAAGAAGTTTCGGTTAAAGGATAGGAGGTACTGGATTTTTCACTCGGAATAAAAGTTGTTACATATGGATAAGTGGTTTCTGTTTCATGGGGATACAAAGTGGTACTTTTTTTTCCAGAAACAGTTGAAAATTCAGGTTTTTTATAAGGATAGACAGTAGTAACTTTTTCTCCAGAAACAATAAGTGTTGTTGTAAATTCGGAAGGTGTTTGTGTTTCGTGAGGATATTCAGTAGTAACTTTTTCACCTGAAACGGTGGTTTCATAATATTTTTGGGAGGTGGTTTCTGTTAAATAAGGATACGCAGTAGTAACTTTTTCTCCAGAAACAGTTGTTGTAAATTCAGAAGGTGTTTGAGTTTCGTGAGGATAGGCAATAGTAACTTTTTCCCCTGAAACGGTGGTTTCATAATATTTTTGGGAAGTGGTTTCTGTAAAACGAGGATATGCAGTGGTAACCTTTTCTCCAGAAACAGATGTAAATTCAGAAGGTGTTTGAGTTTTGTGAGATGATGTTTCTGTTTCATGTGCAAAAGCAGTGGTTAATTTTTCACCAGGGACAGTTGTAAATTGGGAGGGTGTTTCTGTTACATAAGGATATGCTTTAGTTACTTTTTCACCCAAAATGGTGGTAGTGATTTCTGAAGGAGTTTCTGTTTCATAAGGATAGTAGGTAGTGACTTTTTCACCAGAAACAGTTGTGTATTCAGAAGGTGTTCCTGTTACAAGGGTATATTCTGTACTTAATTTTTCACCTGGAATGGTAGTAGTGAATTCTGAAGGAGTTTCTGTTTCACGTGCAAAAGCAGTTGTTACTTTTTGACCATGGACAGTTGTAAATTGGGAAGGTGTTTCTGTTACATGAGAATATGCTGTAGTTACTTTTTCACCTGGAATGGTGGTGGTGAATTCTGAAGTAGTTTCAGCTTTATGTGCAAAAGCAGTAGTTACTTTTTGACCAGGGACAGTTGTAAATTTGGAGGGAGTTTCTGTTACATGAGCATATGCTGTAGTTACTTTTTCACCTGGAATGGTGGTGGTGAATTCTGAAGGAGTTTCTGTTTCACGTGCAAAAGCAGTTGTTACTTTTTGACCAGGGACAGTTGTAAATTGAGAAGGTGTTTCTGTTACATAAGGATATGATATATTAACTTTTTCACCCAAAATTGTGGTGGTGATTTCTGAAGGAGTTTCTGTTTCATGAGGGTAGTGGGTTGTTACTTTTTCACCAGAAACAGTTGTAATTTTATAAGGTATTTCTGTTACATGAGTATATTTTGTAGTTAATTTTTCACCTGGGGTAGTGGTAGTGAATTCTGAAGGAGTTTCTGTTTCATGTGCAAAAGCAGTAGTTACTTTTTGACTAGGGACAGTTGTAAATTGGGAAGGTGTTTCTGTTACATAAGGATATGCTGTAGTAACTTTTTCACCCAAAATTGTGGCGGTGATTTCTGAAGAAGTTTCTGTTTCATGAGGGTAGTAGGTTGATACTTTTTCACCAGAAACAGTTGTAAATTCAGAAGGGGTTCCTGTTAAATGAATATATTCTGTAGTTAATTTTTCACCTGAGGTAGTAGTGGTAAATTCTGAAGGAGTTTCTGTTTCATGTGCAAAAGCAGTAGTTACTTTTTGACTAGGGACAGTTGTAAATTGGGAAGGTGTTACATAAGGATATGCTGTAGTAACTTTTTCACCCAAAATTGTGGTGGTGATTTCTGAAGGAGTTTCTGTTTCATGAGGGTAATGGGTTGTTACTTTTTCACCAGAAACAGTTGTAAATTCAGAAGGGGTTCCTGTTACATGAATATATTCTGTAGTTAATTTTTCACCCAAAATGGTGGTAGTGATTTCTGAAGGAGTTTTTGTTTCCTGAGGATAGTAGGTTGGTATTTTTTCACCAGAAACAGTTGTAAATTCAGGAGGTGTTCCTGTTACATGAGTATATTCTGTAGTTAATTTATTACCTGGGATGGTGGTAGTGAATTTTGAAGGAGTTTCTGTTTCATGTGCAAAAGCAGTAGTTATTTTTTGACCAGGGATAGTTGTAAATTGGAAAGGTGTTTTTGTTACATAAGGATATGCTGTGGTAACTTTTTCACCTAAAATAGTGGAAGTGATTTCTAATGGAGTTCCTGTTTCATGAGGATGGTAGGTAGTTACTTTTTTACCAGAAACGGTTGTAAATTCAGAAGGGGTTCCTGTTACATAGGTATGTTCTGTGGTTAATTTTTCACCTGGAATGGTTGTAGTGAATTTTAAAGGAGTTTCTGCTTCATGTGCGAAAGCAGTAGTTTCTTTTTGACTAGGGACAGTTGTAAATTTGGAGGGAGTTTCTGTTACATAAGAATATGCTGTAGTTACTTTTTCACCTGAAATGGTGGTGGTGAATTCTGAAGTAATTTCTGTTTCATGTGAAAAAGCAGTAGTTACCTTTTGACCAGGGACAGTTGTAAATTTGGAGGGACTTTCTGTTACATGAGCATATGCTGTAGTTACTTTTTCACCTGGAATGGTGGTGGTAAATTCTGAAGTAGTTTCTGTTTCAAGTGCAAAAGCAGTAGTTACTTTTTGACCAGGGACAGTTGAAAATTTGGAGGGAGTTTCTGTTACATGAGCATATGATGTAGTTACTTTTTCACCTGGAATGGTGGTAGTGAATTCTGAAGTAGTTTCTGTTTCAAGTGCAAAAGCAGTAGTTACTTTTTGACCAGGGACAACTGTAAATTTGGAGGGAGTGTCTGTTACATAAGAATATGCTGTAGTTACTTTTTCACCTGGAATGGTGGTGGTGAATTCTGAAGTAGTTTCTGCTTCATGTGCAAAAGCAGTAGTTACTTTTTGACCAGGGACAGTTGTAAATTTGGAGGGATTTTCTGTTACATGAGGATATGCTGTAGTTACTTTTTCACCTGGAATGGTGGTGGTGAATTCTGAAGGAGTTTCTGTTTCATGTGCAAAAGCAGTAGTTACTTTTTGACCAGGGACAGTTGTAAATTTGGAGAGAGTTCCAGTTACATGAGGATATGCTGTAGTTACTTTTTCACCTGGAATGGTGGTGGTGAATTCTGAAGGAGTTTTTGTTTTATGTGCATAAATAGTAGTTAGTTTTTCACCAAAAACAGTTGTATGTTCAGAAGGTGTTCCTGTTACATGAGTATATTCTGTACTTAATTTTTCACCTGGGATAGTAGTGGTGAATTCTGAAGGAGTTTCTGTTTTATGTTCAAAAGCAGTAGTTACTTTTTCACCAGGGACAGTTGTTAATTTGGAGGGAGTTTCTGTTACATGAGGATATGCTGTAGTTACTTTTTCACCTGGAATGGTGGTCTTGAATTCTGAAGGAGTTTCTGTTTCATGTGCATAAGTAGTAGTTATTTTTTGACCAGGGACAGTTGTTAATTTAGAGGGTGTTTCTGTTACATGAGAATATTCTGTAGTTACTTTTTCACCTGGAATGGTAGTAATGAATTCTGAAGTGGTTTCTGTTTCATGTGCAAAAGCAGTACTTACTTTTTGACCTTGGACAGTTGTAAATTTGGAGGGAGTTTCTGTTACATGAGGATATGGTGTAGTTACTTTTTCACCTGGAATGGTGGTGGTGAATTCTGAAGGAGTTTCTGTTTCATGTGCATAAGTAGTAGTTATTTTTTGACCAGGGACAGTTGTAAATTTGGAGGGAGTTTCTGTTACATGAGCATATGCTGTAGTTACTTTTTCACCTGGAATGGTAGTAATGAATTCTGAAGTAGTTTCTGTTTCATGTGCAAAAGCAGTACTTCCTTTTTGACCAGGGACAGTTGTAAATTTGGAGGGAGTTTCTGTTACATGAGGATATGGTGTAGTTACTTTTTCACCTGGAATGGTGGTGGTGAATTCTGAAGGAGTTTCTGTTTCATGTGCATAAGTAGTAGTTATTTTTTGACCAGGGACAGTTGTAAATTTGGAGGGAGTTTCTGTTACATGAGCATATGCTGTAGTTACTTTTTCACCTGGAATGGTAGTAATGAATTCTGAAGTAGTTTCTGTTTCATGTGCAAAAGCAGTACTTCCTTTTTGACCAGGGACAGTTGTAAATTTGGAGGGAGTTTCTGTTACATGAGGATATGGTGTAGTTACTTTTTCACCTGGAATGGTGGTGGTGAATTCTGAAGGAGTTTCTGTTTCATGTGCATAAGTAGTAGTTATTTTTTGACCAGGGACAGTTGTAAATTTGGAGGGAGTTTCTGTAACATGAGCATATGCTGTAGTTACTTTTTCACCTGGAATGGTGGTGGTGAATTCTGAAGTAATTTCTGTTTCATGTGCAAAAGCAGTAGTTACTTTTTGACCAGGGATAGTTGTAAATTTGGAGAGAGTTCCAGTTACATGAGGATATGCTGTAGTTACTTTTTCACCTGGAATGGTGGTGGTGAATTCTGAAGGAGTTTTTGTTTTATGTGCATAAATAGTAGTTACTTTTTCACCAAAAACAGTTGTATGTTCAGAAGGTGTTCCTGTTACATGAGTATATTCTGTACTTAATTTTTCACCTGGGATAGTAGTGGTGAATTCTGAAGGAGTTTCTGTTTTATGTTTAAAAGCAGTAGTTACTTTTTCACCAGGGACAGTTGTAAATTTAGAGGGAGTTTCTGTTACATGAGCATATGCTGTAGTTACTTTTTCACCTGGAATGGTGGTGTTGAATTCTGAAGGAGTTTCTGTTTCATGTGCATAAGTAGTAGTTATTTTTTGACCAGGGACAGTTGTTAATTTAGAGGGTGTTTCTGTTACATGAGAATATTCTGTAGTTACTTTTTCACCTGGAATGGTAGTAATGAATTCTGAAGTAGTTTCTGTTTCATGTGCAAAAGCAGTACTTACTTTTTGACCAGGGACAGTTGTAAATTTGGAGGGAGTTTCTGTTACATGAGGATATGGTGTAGTTAGTTTTTCACCTGGAATGGTGGTAGTGAATTCTGAAGGAGTTTTTATTTCATGTGCATAAGTAGTAGTTATTTTTTGACCAGGGGCAGTTGTTAATTTGAAAGGTGTTTCTGTTACATGAGAATATTCTGTAGTTACTTTTTCACCTGAAATGGTGGTGGTGAATTCTAAAGTAGTTTTTGTTTCATGTGCAAAAGCAGTAGTTACTTTTTGACCAGGGACAGTTGTTAATTTGGAAGGTGTTTCTGTTACTTTTTCACCTGGAATGGTGGTAGTGAATTCTGAAGTAGTTTCCGTTTCATGTGCAAATGCAGTAGTTACTTTTTGACCAGGGACAGTTGTAAATTTGGAGAAAGTTTCTGTTACATGAGGATATGCTGTAGTTACTTTTTCATCTGAAATGGTTGTGGTGAATTCTAAAGGAGTTTCTGTTTCATGTGCATAAGTAGTAGTTATTTTTTGACCAGGGACAGTTGTAAATTTTGAGGGAGTTTCTGTTACATATGCTGTAGTTAGTTTTTCACCTGGAAGGGTGGTAGTGAATTCTGAAGATGTTTCTGCTTCATGTGCATAAATAGTAGTAACTTTTTGACCAGGGATAGTTGTAAATTCAGAAGGTTCTTCAGTTACATAAGGATATTTGGAAGTTACTTTTTCACCTGAAACGGTTTTAGTAAGTTCTGAAGGAGTTTCTGTTTCATGTGCAGAAATAGTAGTTACTTTTTGATCAGGCACAGTTGTTAATTTGGAGGGTCTTTCTGTTACATGAGAATATTGTGTAGTTACTTTTTCACCTGGAATGGTGGTGGTGAATTCTGAAGTAGTTTCTGTTTCATGTGCAAAAGCAGAAGTTATTTTTTGACCAGGGACAGTTGTTAATTTGGAGGGTGTTTCTGTTACATAAGAATATTTAGAAGTTAATTTTTCACCTGAAATGGTTGTAGTAAATTCTGAAGGAGTTTCTGTTTCATGGGCATAAATACTTGTTACTTTTTGACCAGGGATAGTTGTAAACTTGTAGGGTGTTTCTGTTACATGAGGATATGCTGTAGTTACTTTTTCACCAGAAACTGTTGTTAATTTAGAAGTTGTTTCAGTTACATGAGCATATTCTGTAGTTACTTTTTCACCCGAAATGGTGGTAGTAAATTCTAAAGGAGTTTCTGTTACATGAGGATATGCTGTAGTTACTTTTTTATGAGAATCAGCAGAAGTTTCTTTTTTACCAGAAATAGTTGTAAATTCAGAAGGTGTTTCAGTTACGTAAGTATATTTAGTAGTTACTTTTTCACCTGGAATGGTGGTAGTGAATTCTGAAGAAGTTGCTGTTTCATGAGTATAGGCAGTAGTTACTTTTTTATCAGAAACAGTTGTTAATTCAGATGGTGTTCCTGTTACATGAGTATATTCTGTAGTTAATTTTTCACCTGGAATGGTGGTAGTGAATTCTGAAGAAGTTTCTGTTTCAAGAGGATAGGCAGAAGTTTCTTTTTTACCATAAACAGTTGTAAATTCAGAAGGTTTTTCAGTTACATGAGGATATTTAGAAGTTAATTTTTCACCTGAAATGGTTGTAGTAAATTCTGAAGGAGTTTCTGTTTCATGGGCATAAATAGTGGTTACTTTTTGACCAGGGACGGTTGTAAATTTGGAGGGTGTTTCTGTTACATGAGGATATGCTGTAGTTACTTTTTCATGAGGATATGCAGTAGTTTCTTTTTTACCAGAAACAGTTGTAAATTCAGAAGGTGTTTCAGTTACATGAGCATATTCAGTAGTTACTTTTTCACCTGGAATGGTGGTGGTGAATTCTAAAGGAGTTTCTGTTTCATGTCCATAAATAGTAGTTACTTTTTGACCAGGAACAGTTGTAAATTGGGAGGGTATTTCTGTTACATGAGGATATCCGGTTATTACTTTTTCACCTAGAATGGTAGTAGTAAATTCTGAAGGAGTTTCTGTTTCATGAGGATAGGCAGTAGTTGCGTTTTTACCAGAAACAGTTGTAAATTCAGAAGGTGTTTCAGGTACATGAGTATATTCAGTGGTTTCTTTTTTACCTGGAATGGTGGTAGTAAATTCTAAAGTAGTTTCTATTTTATGAGGAAAGTGGGATGTTACTTTTTCACCAGAAACAGTTGTATATTCAGAAGGTGTTCCTGTTACATGAGTATATTCTGTAGTTAATTTTTCACCTGGGATGGTAGTTGTGAATTCTGAAGGAGTTTCTGTTTTATGTACAAAGGCAGTAGTTACTTTTTCACCAGGGACAGTTGGTAATTGAAAAGGTGTTTCTGTTACATAAGGATATGCTGTAGTTACTTTTTTACCCAAAATGGTGGTAGTGATTTCTAAAGGAGTTTCATGTGCAAAAAAGGTAGTTACTGTTTGACCAGGGACATTTGTAAATTGGGAGGGTGTTTCTGTTACATGAGGATATGCGGTTGTTACTTTTTCACCTAGAATGGTAGTAGTAAATTCTGAAGGAGTTTCTGTTTCATGAGTATAGGCAGAAGTTACTTTTTCACCAGAAACAGTTGTAAATTCAGATGGTGTTCCTGTTACATGTGTATATTCTGTAGTTAATTTTTGACCTGGAATGGTGGTAGTGAATTCTGAAGAAGTTTCTGTTTCAAGAGGATAGGCAGAAGTTTCTTTTTTACCATAAACAGTTGTAAATTCGGAAGGTTTTTCAGTTACATGAGGATATTTAGAAGTTAATTTTTCACCTGAAATGGTTGTAGTAAATTCTGAAGGAGTTTTTGTTTCATGGGCATAAATAGCGGTTACTTTTTGACCAGGGACAGTTGTAAATTTGGAGGGTGTTTCTGTTACATGAGGATATGCTGTAGTTACTGTTTCATGAGGATATGCAGTAGTTTCTTTTTTACCAGAAAATTCAGAAAGTGTTTTAGTTACATGAGCATATTCAGTAGTTACTTTTTCACCTGGAATGGTGGTGGTGAATTCTGAAGGAGTTTCTGTTTCATGTGCATAAATAGTAGTTACTTTTTGACCAGGAACAGTTGTAAATTTTGAGGGTGTTTTTGTTACATAAGGATATGCTGTAGTTACTTTTTCACCTAGAATGGTGGTAGTAAATTCTGAAGGAGTTTCTGTTTCATGAGGATAGGCAGTAGTTGCTTTTTTACCAAAAACAGTTGTAAATTTAGAAGGTGTTTCAGGTACAAGAGTATATTCAGTGGTTTCTTTTTTACTCGGAATGGTGGTAGTTAATTCTGAAGGAGTTTCTGTTTCATGTGAAGAAATAGTAGTTACTTTTTCACCAGGGACATTTGTAAATTTAGAGGGCTTTTCTGTTCCATGAGGATATGCTTTAGTTACTTTTTGACCTGAAATGTTGGTAGTGAATTCTGAAGGACTGTTTGTTTCATGAGGATAAGCAGTAGTTACTGAAGGTGTTTCTGTGATATGAGGAAAGGAAGTAAAACTTTTACCAGTATAGGATGGGACTTCTGTAATAAATTCTAAAGGAGTTTCACTTGTTGTGATATGAGAGGTTATTTTTTCTTCAGGTATTTCAGTTTTAGAAGTACTTATTGTAGGTGTAGTCGTCTCAGAAGACGGTGATATTTTATCAGTCGTTGTTGTTAGTAAATCTATGTGTCTTTCGCGAGTTGTGTTAGTGGTATATTTAGGCGTTAAGGTAATTGTGGATGGGGTAGTGAAAGTTTGGGAAGTTTGTTGGGGAAAACATTCAACAGAAGCATTGCCCTCGTAACCAATTGGGCATTTGCATGTCGCCACATGTTTGCTTGTTTCGCAAATGGCTGCTTTGCCACATTTAAGAGCACACAAATCGGCACATTTATTTCCAGTACAGATTTCCGATTGTGCGCAGTCGTCGTTCTTGGAGCAGATTACTTTTGTTGCATTGTCGGCTGCGAATACATTGTTTATACAAAATATTTACATATAATACATATACAATTGTGTTAGATATTTGCATAGCAGCTTGGTTATTGATATTAATTGGAAAGGAAAGTGGGAAAGTTTAAGTAAATTATAAATTTAAGAAAAATAGCTTAGATGTAAAAATAAAATAAATCAGTAAGAGTAAAAGGGACAAGTGGTAAAGTGGCTTGTCTTTGTACCAGTTTTTTTAAACTTGTAAATAAGGTAACGATGTAAAGGAAAGAGTTTTTCTATTACTGCATACTTAAACCGAAAGCAACGGAACTCATCAGTCTTTGATGTTTGTCGTCAAGCACTAAGAGGTTTGCACCAGGAATAAGTTTTTACCTTTGATGCATCCGTATTTTGCGTCTGGTATAAATCCTGGTGGGCAAAACTTGCAAATGGGTTTATGTTCTTCTACAGTGCAAGGAGTATTTTCGGGACACCCTGCCGTCAAACAAGGATCTTCGCAACGGAATGCTCTGCACGCTTGATTCGCTGGACAACCATTGTCTCTCAGACATATCGACAGAGAGGGGCTGCAGTTTTTAAGACAAATACACACCGGCTTGTGGTTTAACACGTCGCAACCCTTTTCTGGTGGACATGGGGACTTTTTAGAACTTGTGCATGGATTTTGGCATCTAGCGTCGATGCAAGCTTTATTCGAAGGACATTCGTCGTTTGATTTACATTCCACGTTTTCGGGTGCACATGCTATCTCACCTCTTTCATTTACTATAAACCCATTCTTACAAACGCACGAGGCTCTGTGGTGATGCACCTCGCATTTCTTATTGCCTCTACATTTAAACGTGGGGTTTTTGCATGGATCGTAACATTCCCCGGACGCAGCATTGCAAGCCAACGAGGCAGAGCAATCAGTGTCCATTTTGCATAGCGTTGACACGGCGGGTCTAGGATGCGTGGTTAAGCATTTCGGATCTGGGTTGCATGCTGTGGCTGCGCTGCCAACGTGACACTCCGGACACGAGCACCTCGGCCTGTGCATGATAGTTTGGCATAGGGCGTTTAGGCCGCACGCGCCCCTCAACGTGCAAGGGTCAATACACTGGAAGTTGATACAAGCCTTCTCGTTGCTACATTCTAAGTCACTGTTACATTCGGCTTCTATAGGGGTGGGCAGGAAAAAGAAAGCATTGTTTAAGAAAACCGTGAAAGGTAGAAGTATCTCACAATACACAACATCGCATGCGGGTGTGACCAAGACAGCTGTCAGAGGATGAGAGAAATGAAAGAGGCCATCTCAACAACGAGACCGTTTAAGCGGCAGTATTTACAAAAAGCTTTCAGCCTAGTGTGGGTATCATTTCTGATCAAACTAATATACAAAACAAAATGTGAGAATGCTCCTTTCATAGTTCCCAATCTGACTTATCGTCCATCATACCCGATGCGCGCAATCGCACGCGTTGCCAGTGCTTTACTAAATATTGATTGATTGATTGCATTTAGCTAATTAGTGTAATTTTAAAGACAACTGACTGTTAAGTTTTGTAATTTTTAATGTGTGGAATGTTGTGGCTATTAGGTTGTGAAAGGAGTCCTGGGCGTGTCGGGATCGTGTAAAAGGCAGATTGGAACCCAAAAGTGTACATTCCACATGACGAGCATAGTGTGTCTATTGTGTCTATCAAATATGCTCGCCAAGCTCGTAATTTTATTTACACATACCTTTATATCATTACCTTGACCAAAAACTATCAATACTAATAAACTGGCTACAAATTTTAAACACAAAACATTTCATCATAACGTGCAGATATCTTTGTACACAGTGATGGTAAACGATACAAATTAATCAAAGTAAAATAAGTCTAATGCGCGTGGGCATTAGTTAGCGATAAAGCCTATGTACTGTATACAGACGTGTAACAATTTAGATACAAATATATATAAAATCAGACCCATGTTTCATTGCAACTTAAAAACTCACCCCGCTTGCAGTCTTCGTTCGGACGTCCGGAATAACCCGGCAGACAACGGCACACGAAAAACGCTTGTTCTCTTATACATTCGGCATTCTTACCACATCCGTCTGTTCTACAATCAGTATTACTTCTCTCCGATAAACCTACAAACAATTCTAATAAATAACAACCCACAAGGTTTACAAAAAAATAATTACATTCAATAGTAGGGTCACCAACTGGATTTTCTAGTGGACAATAACATTGCGCTTCAATTCCGTTTACAACTCTACAAGAGGCGCCAGCCCCACATAACTTATGTTTGCACAAATTGGGTGTTTTATCACAAACACAACCTTTGTATGCGTCACCTTTGCAACCTGGGTTACAGCTGCATTCGTAACCTCCAGGTAAGTCGCGACATAATGCATTGCTTCCGCAAGGACTTTTTTGACATTCTTCGATAACTTCTTGTTTACATTCAGAGAGAGCGTTACCGGCGTAACCAGGTGGACAAGAACAATGTGGTTTTCTATCAATAACGCGGCATTGAGCGTTGACACCACATGCGCCATGTTCAAGGCACGGGTTTCTGCATTGGCCGTCTGTACTGCATTTTTTATTGGCTTCACATTCTTCATCAATTTTGCATTCGTATGCTGAACAACTTACAGCTGGATCTCCTTGATAACCATCCGGACATAAACAAACCTTTCTGTGATCATTAGTTCTGCATACAGCATTGATACCACAAGCATTAGAATCTTTACAAGCATTTTGACATTTCTTATTCTTACAAACATCAGTATTAGGGCAGTCGGTGTTCGATCTACATCCAGGTAAACAAGCGCCATGCGTGCAAATTTGACCTTGTGAGCATGAAGATTGCGAAGAACACTTATTTCTGCATTTACCAGCTGCACATGCTTCACCGCACTTACAATCGCCGTCAGATTTACAAGATTTTGTACAGTAACCTATTTCGTCGCATTCACAGGAACCATCACAGCGCATACTGGCCTGCGTGCAAGATATTAATGGATTGCCTAAAAAGTTTGCCGGGCAGCTGCATTGAGCTACGTGGTTTTTGACTTGACATTCAGCACACACGCCGCAGCTAGTTGAAGACTCGCAAGGATCTAAAATTATAAATTAATTAGTAATAATTTATTTATTATTAAAAATTTTCTTACTTTGACATTGGTTATTAATGCAGGCTTGGTTTTGAGGACACACTGAGTCACTTCTACAACCAATCTCACATATTCTATTTTCACAAATTTGGTTTCTCCCGCATGATGCATCAGAATTACAGATAGTTCTACAAACACCTTTGACGCATTTTTCATCTGATAAACAGTTGCGATCGCTAAAAAAATATTATTATTATTAATAAATATTTATAAAAGTATTATATAGTAAACTTACGTTCTGCACATTCCTTGACAAACTCCTGCATAACAAACTTGTCCAGCAACACATTCAGTATCTTCGTAACACTGTTTGACTGGGTATCTACAAGATTCCAACGGATTACCCACTAAAGGAGTCGGGCATGAACACAACTTTTTATACCCAACAGCAGTACATTCAGCGTTTGTTCCACAAGCAGTAGGTGATGCACAAATTTCAACGCATTTATTGTTGATGCAGTTCTGTGAATCCAAGCAACCGCTGTTACTTCTGCATCCTGCAACGCATATCAGGCTTTCGCAAATTTCACCGTTCGTACAGTCATCATCGCGTCTGCATAGTGGCTTGCAGAATCCTGCGAATATATCGCATTTTTCGTTGTTCAAACATCCATTATCAGTGGAGCAAAGCAATCTGCATCCTCTGTCTTTACAAACGTTGCCTCTAGGACATTCGCGATTTTGTGCGCAAGGTTGCGGTGGAGCTCTAACGCAAGCGACTTTAGCGGATGGATTTGGTACGAAACCTGCACCGCAAGAACATGTCGCTCTATGATTGGATACGGTACAAAGCGCGTTAGGTCCGCAAGTATCTTCAGAGCAAGGATTAATGCATTTATTGTTTCTGCATGACTCTGTACTGCTACAGTCGTCATCGTTGTGGCAGCCGAAGGTGCAAATGTTCTTCAAGCAGATGTGGTTCAAGAAACAATCATTATCTACGCGACAGGTAAGCTGACATTTTCCTTTCAGGCATTTTTCGTTAAAGGCGCATTCTGTATCGGCGTTACACGAAGGGTGGCATATGTTGTCTTTACACATGAAGCCTGGGGTGCAATCTTTGTTTGTTGAACAAGAAACTGGCAATCTTATACATTCAACGTTGTGATCCCCAGTGAAACCATTCGGGCATGTACATTCCTTAAGATGATTTTCTGTGGTGCATTCAGCGTTCATACCGCAAGCATTTCTTATGGAGCACGGGTTCAAACACTGTCCTTGTAGGCATTTTTCTGATTGGTCACACTCCTTATCAGCTTGACAAGGTTCATTACAAATGTCTCCATAACAATATGTATTAGCCGGACAGTCCGATGTTGTGTGGCAATTTACAAGTTTAGGTCTACATCCTTTCGAGATGTCCTTTGGATTTCCTTCGAAGCCTGTTCTGCAGCTACAATGTCCTACATGATCTATAGCGATGCATTCAGAATTTAACCCGCAAATGGTGTTTTCACATACATCTTTACATTTATGCACTCCGTTCGTTTTATCGCATTTCGCCACCACAGGACAATCGCTATCCTTCACACACTCAACTGGAGCTCTACAGCCGTCATTATAAGGATCACCGACTGTTCCATGAGGACACTGACATCTGAAGGACCCTCTGGAATTGTGACATGAAGCTCCAGGGCCACAAGGAACGTCAGCACAGAAATCTATCAACTGACACCCTGTGTGTGGATTGCCTGTATAACCCGGCTGGCAGTAGCAAACTTGCTTGTGTTTTTCGGCTGAACACAGCGCATTGCGACCGCATGGATTGTTGACCAAACAAGCTATCTTGCACATATATTGGTCGCACAGTTTGTCATTGGAACACTGATCGTTGGTTTCGCATTCAACCTTTTGGCAGCCCACTTTATCGTCATTGGGATTTCCTTTAAAACCTGCCTTGCAAGTACACAAGGCTTTGTGGTTTTTGCTGGAGCACTCGGAATTTCTACCGCAAAGGATTCCCTCACAAGCGTCCACACATTCAGCTTGCCCAACTGTATTAGATAGACATTTTTCAGTGTAGTCACAGTCGGTGTTTTCCCTGCATCTTACTTCTTGTGTGCAGATGTTGTTTTGGCAGAATTGAAAGTCAGGACAGGATGAATTTGATTTGCATGTTGGTTGACAAATTTCCTGTATACAGAGTTGGTCAGCTATACATTCTCTTGATGTGGTACAGGTTGCTATAATAAAAAAGCACGTTAGATTGACTCTACATTACAATAAACATTAATAACTTACAGGTACAAAGTCCGTTGTAACATTTAGATCCAGATGGACACTGGTTATCTCCCGCACAATATTGCACAGGTACGCATCCTAAAAGTGGATCTCCAGTCGTACCAGGTTGGCAAGTGCAAACTCCCAAGTGATTTACAGCAACGCAGCTGGCTTTACTTCCGCAAACATTGGTTAAATCGCATGGATTAACGCAGGTAGAATCAATACAAGTTTTTTGTTGCGAACAATCGTTATTGTCAACACATTCTATAGGCATACAGTTGTGATTAGCGTCTTCTCTAGTACGGGTGGGGCATTTGCATGTAGCTTCGTGCGCAATTGGTATACATTCTGCGTTTCTACCGCAAGCATTTCTATTTTCGCAAGGGTTTTTACAGCGGTTCTCTTCACAGAAGGCTGATTGTGGACAGTCGGCATCGGCGAAACAGTCGCCTGGTTTTCTACAACCTGTTCCGACTGGGTCTCCTACATAACCTTCTGGACATGTGCAAGTAAAATCTCCGTCTGTATTAATACATTTTGCTGATGCATGACAAGGTTTATTAATCGTGCATTCATCTATATCTATGCATTTGTTGTTTTTAAGGAAATATCCTGTAAAGCATTCGCAATGCGGTTGGTGGTTTGTGGCTATGCAAGTTCCTTTTCCGCAGTTTATAACATCACAAGGATCTAAAAAAACAATAAAAAATTAGCATAAACCATAAAATTATAACTATATAACTTACTTAAGCATTTATTTGATCTGGAATCGCAGAATCTATTCGCAGGACATTCATTATCCTCCAAACATTCCACTTTGAAGCAACCCAAGCGTTTATCGTAAGGATCTCCTAAATTTCCTGGCGGACAAGAGCATGTTAACTTGTGATTCGTGACGTTACATAAAGCCTGGCTTCCACATTTAGTCTCTTCGCAAGGGTTTTGACATTTTCCAATCTTACAAATCAAATTATCAGCGCAGTTTTTGTTGCTTCTACATTGCCCAGGCGTGTTACAACCTTCTTTAAACGGATCACCAACTTTACCATCTGGACAGCTACAAGAATAAGCACCTGGTTGGTTTACACATATCGCCGTATGATGACACGGGTTGGCTTCACACTCGTTTATATCAACACAACCATTTGGCGTTCCAATATATCCCTTCGAGCATTTGCATTGTCCTTTGTCGCATATCTGCGATACTCTACAATCTGTATCAACTTGGCAACCGGGCTTGCAAACGCCCTGTTGACAGACTTCACCGGCAAAACAGTTACTGTCACCGTAGCATACTTTGACGCATACGTTATCGGAACATCTTTCGCCTTCCGCGCAGGCATTGTTGTTTTTGCAAGGCAGTGTGCAAATGTTGTTGCTGCATTTGTATCCTGATAAACATTGTTTTGTGGTCTCACATGTATCTGGTACTCGAATGCAGCCTTCTTGCGGCGTTGGATTGCCTTCGAAGCCGGTGGGGCATTCACATACTGTTTTGTGGTTCAAACACGAACACAAAGCATTTGGTCCGCATGTTCCCTTGAGCTTGCAAGGGTCCTGGCATTTATTATTAACACAAGCGAAGTTGGAATCGCAATTTTTGTCGCTTCTACATCCGATTATGCAAGTGCTATTATTACAAGCTTGGTCTTCTCTGCATTGGCTGTGGTCTGTACATGGTGTCGTGCACTTATTTTGCGAGCAACTTTCACCATAAGAACAATCCTCGTCGTTTCTACACACTGATCTGCATTGACCCAAGTGACAGACTTCTGTGCCGCAGTCTCTGTCCGAACCACAACTTACTGCCATTCGTAAACATCCGTCTCCTGATGGTATATATTTAAGCGGGCATGTGCATGTGGGTTTTCTGTTTTCAACAACACATATGGCATTCGGTCCGCAAGATTTCTTATCGCAAGGATTTACACATACTCCGCTTTGACATATCGATTGTTCTGGGCAATCTGCATCGCCTCTAGGACATTTTCCCTTTTGGGTACAACCTGATGTTATCGGATCACCTACTGTGCCAGCAGGGCATTTACAAACATAACCGTTAGATGAGGCTTCGCATATTGCCGAGTTGTGGCATGGATTTGGGCTGCAAACGTCCAACTGTATACACTCTACGTCTGGTAGAGGATTTGGCGAGAAGCCTGGCGGGCATTGGCACGATGATTTATGATTTTCAGCAATACATACAGCGTTTGTACCGCAAGACTCTTCATCGCACACATTCATGCATGTGTGTGTCATACGGTTACACAATTGGTAGTCTGGGCAGTCGATATTGTAGACGCAATTTACGTCTTGGCATCCTGCATTTTTATCGTAAGGATCTCCAATGAATGATCCTGAAGGACACTGACATTGCGGGGCGTGATTATTAACAATGCATAGCGCTTTAGGTCCGCACGATATTTGTTCACAGGCGGACACACAAGTTGATATTCCATGTTCTGGGTGAGTTTTGCATGTTTCGTGTTCGGCACATTGAGCATCAGATGTACATTGATCTTTTACTATAGCTTTACATCCGTTGCGATCATTAGGATTTCCTGTATAGCCCGCTAAACATTGGCAGTTTCCTTTGTGTGATTCGGCTATACAAGCTGCGTTGTTCGGGCATGTAAAATGAGAGCATACAGCCATACATTTTAATACTCCTAGAGCGTCTGGTTGACATGCTTCCATTGGTTGACATTGCGAGTCATCTCTGCAGTCTGGTATGGACGGTTTTTCGCAAATCGATGTAACAGGATTCCAGATATACTCAGATTTGCAAGCGCATGTAGGATGGCCAGCTATATCGATTTGGCAAATCTCATTTGATCCGCACGCCACTGTTTCACATGGACTGATACATTTCTGTATTCCATGTACATCCACTGAGCATATAGTGCCAAATTTACATTCCGCATCGGTTTTACATTCTTGTTTGTTGACTCTTTCTTCAAGTTGACAACCTGTTCCAATATCACCAGGGTTTCCATTGTATCCTGGCGCACAAATACATGCGGATCTGTGGTTTTCTGCTACGCATAGTGCGTTGGGGCCGCATTGTTCTTTACTGCAAGCATCCAGACATTTTCTTAAGCCTTTGCCGAGTTGAAAACAAATTTCGGAATCGTAACAATCTGTATCGCTGTTACATTGTCCTTGTACTTTACATCCAACGATTAAATCGTCAGCATTTCCGACAAAACCAGATGGACATAAGCATTGTCCTTTATCACAACTAGCTTTAGGACCACAGCGTACGTCTTCGCAAGGGTTGACACATTTTCCGCTTTGACAGGAGTAACCATTTGGGCATATAACTTCATCGTTGCACAAGCAATTTTCGGGGTTTTTACATATTCCCACTTGTACTTGTGCGCACATTATGAACGGATTACCGGCGTAACCTTCTTTGCATCTACAGTCGTAACTGCCGATCGTATTAATACATATGGCACTGGAACCGCACACATTTGCGCTGCATTCGTTTATATCTTCGCAACCAATGAAAGAATTTCCTGTGAAGCCGTGCTTACAGTAGCAATCGATGCCGTTGTAATTGTCTTTGCATTCTGCGTTTGCGCCGCAGGAGTTTGAATCGCATGTTTTCTTGCCTACCAACTCGCACAATTCGTATGGGTTTCCAATGGTGCCGGAGTTGCAGACGCATTTGTTTTGTATGCCGTATTCGCAGTGAGCGTTTTTGCCGCAGGTTGGGTCACAAGATGGGCCAGTAATTGCTAAAATTAAAAATAAAATTAGTACATGATGAAGTTATTAATGTTATATAGTAACTTACGAGGCATGCATAATAAGTCAGGATTTCCCACAAAGAATTGATCGCAGACGCATTTATTCGAGTTTTTATCGCAGTGAGCGCCTAGTCCGCATATTATTCCTTCGCATCTTTGTTTACATCTACCACCAATACAAACGTTGGGCTCTTCACAAGGTGCTTTACTAGAGCAAACATCAGTTGTACATTGTCCACCTGGGAAAGGATTTCCCATGTAACCTTCTAAACATTTGCAAGTTGGGCCTGAGTTCGTTACGATGCATTGAGCTCCATTTGCACAAACCAAGTCTTCACATTCTGGAAAATAAAATGGGTTAATTATCTATTAAAATGTAACAGCTTGTTTTAACCTACGTGATACACATTGTCCTTTGGAGTTTTCCTCGTATCCTACAGTACACCTACACCAAGCCACATGATTTTCAGGTTCACAGAAAGCATTTGGTCCACAGGATAAAGAAGCACATGGGCTTATGCAAGTTCCATCATGACAGGCCAAGTTATTGGAGCAGTCACTATTGCTTTGACATTCCGACTTTGGGGCACCAGAGTCTAATATACAGCCACCTTTGTAAGGATCTCCGGTCATTCCTTTCGGACATATGCATTTGTAGTTGCCTTTTTGATTTAAACAGTGGGCTGCGTAGGCGCATGGGCTGCTGTCACATTCGTCTATGTCAGTACAGCCTTGATAAGCATCTCCTTTGTAGCCAGCTTCGCACATGCATTTGGGCGGATCGCTAGGTGTACATTTCGCGTTCATTCCGCATGGGAATCTTTCACATGGACTTTTACATTTATTAGAATCTTGTGGGTCGGTGAAATATGGCGGTGGACATACGCATTCGCCTGGTTGTACGCATCGTTCGTTAAGGGAACATTCCTTGTCGTGACTGCAACGTTTTTGCGCTGGTGCGCATAGGCCATTATAGGCATCGCCGCTATAACCTTGCGGACAGTGACACTCGTATGAGCCAGGGTTGTTGATGCATTCGGCTCCGAACCCGCATACTTGTTGTTGCTCGCTACATTCATTAATGTCTTTACATGAGCCGTCTGGCAGGGTTCTGTAGCCTTTAGGACAAGCACAGTAGCTTACGCCACCTGTAATAGTAATGCATTCAGCTCCATTTGGACAAGACCCATCGGTATCGCAACTGGCCAAAACGCAGTTACCATCGGTTAATTTATATGGCGGTTGACATCTGCAATTGGGAGAATTACATTCCAAACATTCTAAGAAAGGATTTCCATTGAAACCTGGTGCACATTGACAATCGTAGCTACCAGGTAAGTTTTTGCACATAGCGTTAATTCCACACGCAGGTTTGTCTCTTAATTCCGTACATTCATCACTGTCTCTACATTTACCAGTCTCTTTATCTCTTACATAACCTTGTACGCATAAACACACACTCAATCCAGTGTAGTCGTCTAACACACAGGTCTCTCCAATTGGACATGGTTTAGAATCGGAACATTCAGGTGTGGGGATGTTAGATTTCGTACATCCACTTCTATAAGGATCGCCGTTGGTACCGCCAGGACATTCGCATTTGAAAGAACCTGGTTCGTTTTTACATACAGCACCCGGTTGGCATGGATTATTGCTGCATTCATCTATATCCACACATCCAGATGTTGCGGAAGTGTAGCCTGTCGAGCATATGCATTTGGCTTCTTGGTTTACTAACATACATTGTTCGTTTAGGTTGCAGTTTATGGTTTCGCAAGGGTGTCTGCAATCATCTCCTACGTTCGGGCCTGGGCAAAGACAACGATTTTGTGGGTCACATACTGCATTGCCTGGGCAATCTGAGTCAGTTTTGCAAGTCACAACAGCTGTGCATTTTGTTTTTGGATCTGGGTCTGGAATGCTGCCGTCTGGACATTCGCATGTAAACGCTCCGGGTGAGTTAATGCATACAGCTCCAACTCCACATGATTCTTGCTTTGAGCATTCATCAATATCATTACATTGCACTGAAGGGTTACCGGAGTAACCTTGGGGACAATGGCAAGCAAAGGAACCTTGCAAATTTGTACACACAGCGTTTTTACCGCATCTACCACTAGGTCCGTTAATTTTATCGCACTCGTCAATATCAATACAACCAGCGGCTATATCGCTCGGATTAAAAGTCCAACCATCTTCGCATATACAGTACGCTTCCTGACCATCAGGTTTACAATAAGCGTGGTCGCCACATTTTACATCTTCGCATGGTGCTTTGCATTGCACCATAGGAGGCGCCCCGACGAAGCCGTTCTCGCATTCGCAACGAAACGAACCGATCGAGTTTGTGCATAGTGAAAAAGGACCGCAGGGTTCTGCTTGGCACTCGTCTATATCCACGCATACTGCCCCTTTGGCTACGAAGCCTTTCTGGCAGAAACATTGGTTTTCAATGCATTCAGCGTTGTTTGTGCAGTCGAAGTTTGATTTACAGAGGATGTTTACGTCAATCTAAAATATAAATGTTTGATTAGTGGAGGAAGATATCTTTAAAGAGTTTTTAAGACAGTTTTTAGACATCTTAAAAAACCAATTTTAATGATCTATAATTAAGACATCTTTAAAAAAGTTTTTCAGACAGTTAAATAACATATATTCATACCTGTTCACAAGCAACTTGTGGTGTTGGGCTGCCCTGATAACCTTGAGGGCATTTACAGTTATATCCAGGGGAAGTATTTTCGCATACTGCGTAATTTCCGCAAGGTTTTTCTAATATTTCACATTCATTAATGTCCACGCAACCTTTAAAAGGATCTCCAGTGTAATCTTCCTTGCAGGAACAAGTATAG